GCCGCCCCGGCTCACGCTGTGGGTACGCGTCCTGGACGAACTACGACTCGCGAGTCAACCTATGAAAAGCGAGTCCATGTTTATACGAAAATGCCCCTATGATTGGTGAAATTTACGATTGCCGGGAACTACGAAAAGCGGGGGACCACTGTACATGTACTTGTAGTAAATAAAGATATTATTATTAGTTGGCTTGCAGATAGGTACAGTACTGTGTACCATGCTAGGTGAATAGGAGCAGCTGGAATGCATGGTTGGTAAATAGCAACTATCCTGAGAGGTACTACCATCCTGTTGTGTGTATGACTTAGGATTTCTTTAAATGTTTTTGTACTTTGTCAGGATTGCTGGTCATGTCTGCCTTGTGAGCATGTAAGATGGTAGGTAAATCTTACAAACATTACTGGTACCTGCATTAAGTATATAGTATGATTATCTTTACTTTCCGGTTAGGTTTTATCCTTGCAGCACTATACGTATGTATTTCTTTTCCAGTTTATACGAGGCTGCAGATGTGTCTCTTAACATAATGATAAATGGATTACCTATCACAAAACTCACAGAGGGAAAATTCCTAGGAATCCACCTTGATAATAAACTCAAATTTCAAACACACATACAACAAAGTTCCAAAAAAATTTCCAAGACCGCAGGCATACTATCGAAGATACGGTACTATGTTCCGCAGTCAGCCCTCCTGGCCCTATATCACTCACTTATTTATCCCTATCTCACCTATGGAATTTGTGCATGGGGCTCAACAACAATAAACCATCTCAGACCACTAATCACCCAACAAAAGGCTGCAGTCAGAATGATGATAAATTCCCACTACAGACAGGACACTCCACCAATATTCAAAACTCTAAACCTACTCGCAATACAAAACATCCTTACTTATTACTGCACCTACTACATACATAGAACACTTAACTCTGACATAAACCATCCCCTCAAACATCTCCTTACCAACCTCAACAGAACACATGACCATAACACAAGACACAGATCACTCTTTGATGTTCCTCGTGTCCATTGCACACTATGCAAAAACTCAGTGCACATAAAAGGCCCTAAAATCTGGAATTCATTACCTGTGAATATAAAAGAAACACTGTCTGTTTATAAATTCAAGTCTCTTCTCAAAAATCACTTACTCACCCACAACTAAATAAATACTGAGTAATTGTATCTCATTGGCATACTGCTCTTATCTGTATTTTTTTGTACCTCTGTATGTGTGCACAAATTGGAAATAAATAAATAAATAAATAAATAAATAAATTATTGTATCTCATTATTGTATCATAAATGTCAACCTGTGACCCAATCAAACTTTGTTACTATTTAACTTCATTACCTAACAGAATACTCCATTCTAATGATTACACAGCAACACAGTAAATGACCATATGACCTGTCTTTGTAATACTCATTTGTACTAAATTGTTTTCTGTTTTACAATAATTTTTGTACCACTGAATATATCATTGCTTAGTTAATTTTAAGCCTGCCTGTAATGCTATGCATTCAAGTGGCTTTGGCATGCTGCATTTAACTGTATTCTTTTGTACTTCACTGTATCATGTTCAAATTAATAAATAAATAAATCTGAGACTGGACCATTGGGGTGATGATCCCAGGACCCATTAACAGATGTATAAGAGATACATATTTCACCATCCTGGAAATCAAAGTAAGGACCTTTTGGTTGTGAACCAATTGTTATCACCACTGAGCTATATGTCACTCCTTAACCCCCTTGACTGTCGCAACCCCCAATCCTCAGGTGTCTCCTGATGTCGCAAAATTTCCAAAAAAAAAAAATATTTTTTCTTATGAAATGATAGAGAATCTTTTCTCGATTGTAATGACAAAAAAAAAAAAAACGAAATTTGATGGAAAACTGATGGAATTACGCTCTCGCGAAGTTAGCGACCCCGGCGATATTTACAAATCGGCGATTTCGCCCACTTTGAGCCCTATTTTCGGCTAATTCCATTGTTCCAGTCAACCAAACTCATAGCTATTTCTTTAGAACTCCGTTTTTTCTATCGATTGAGTACAAGAAACTGCCCATTTACCGATTTCAGCTCCCCAATAACATCGTCAGAAATTTGCAATTTGGCCAATTTCAGGAAAATTAAAAAATATGACAATTTCAAAATATGGTCCAGAATGAACAATGCAGACATTCCTGGCTCTAAAATAACATTTCCTTTGTTCATCAGTCACGTCTCCAGACCCCTCTGATGTTACTCTTGCTTTCTATTTTGAATTTTTATTCAAACAAAAAATAGAAGATTTACTGTTATGCAGACTACTGCAATACTGTAATAATTGTACAAATAATGTCAACCCATTCATGACTGCATAATAGAATGGCTAGTTGGACATTTATTGGACAATGACATCATTTGTTTACTTTTGAACATCAGCAAAAATCAAACATTTCCCCTACTTTGAGCTCCATTTCCAGGTTCTTTTTATAGTAAAACCAATCAAAATCACCTCTATTTTTATATGTTTTCCATTCTATCAAATGAGACCAAGAAAACGAGAATACAACCATAAATACTATACGAAAATAGACCACAAATTCGGCATTTTAATTAAAAAAAGCGGTCCGAGATTTTTTTTTTCTCATGCACTGCTTGCTCCAGGATTTTTTTTATATGGTGCACACAGACCCATTCTCTCACATGTGGGCCTACCAGCTTTCTCCGGCTTGATTTGAAGCCGCTAGAATTCGAGTATATATACGTCAGACATGGTACCTCGTAAGACGTATATATACAACCGAAACACTCAAAAGGTTAAGGCCTCACCTAGATTATGCAGAATGAGAGGAGACATAATCGATGTGTGTAAGTGGAAGATGGGTATTAACAAAGAGGACATAAATAAGGTTTTAAGGATATCCCTCCAAGAGAGAACCTGCAATAATGGATTCAAATTAGACACGTTTAGATTTCGAAAAGATATAGGAAAGTACTGGTTTGGTAATAGGGTAGTTGATGAGTGGAACAGTCTGCCTAGTAGGGTTATCGAAGCTAAAACCTTGGGTAGTTTCAAATTTAGATTGGATAAGTACACGAGTGAGAGGGGTTATATTTGAGTGGACTTGCACCTGAGTAAATAGAATTATCAAAGCTTATTACTTGGTTAGCATTTAGTCTGTTAGTGGGTTGGATTTGTGTAAGACCTGCCTAGTGTGGGCCAACAGGCCTGTTGCAGTGTTTCTCCCTTCTTATGTTCTTAAACTTGGAAATTAGACATTTTTAACCTTTGTTATAATATCCTTACCTTTGGTATGAGTGTATGAATTCCCTGTTCATAATGATTTATTTTATTAACCCCTGAGTGTAAACACTGTAATCCAAAATAGAAAAAAAAAAAAAGTCAGATTGTGATATTTTGTGTGAATTTTATGCATGTGTGGTGAACTTGTTTGCTTGGTATATATTGGTCAAAAATTGTCGAGATTATAATACTCTTTAGATGAATTCCGGATTTTATGGACACTATTGGTATATTATTTTCACATCGTGAGTTGATATCTTGTATGCTTACTTTATGCATGTATCTTATATGCTCATGTTTTTTACAAAGATCAATCAAGATATGTGAGAGTTTTATAAAAAAAAATTTGAAATTGGTGAAAAAAATACATTATGCATTTTTCCATAATTGTTTCATTCAATAAATAAGTTTATTTAGGTACAGTTTTACAGAATTTTTAGACGATTACAATTGTCTTGAATAGTAATACAGTGGAACCTCAAGTTTCGGCCGTAATCCAATTGTTCGAAAGCAAAGCAATATTTCCCATAAGAAATAATGTAAGGCCAATTAATCTGTTCCAGACACCCAAAAATATTAAAAAAAAAAATACATTTTTTTAAGGAATAACTATAGTTTTGCAAACACACAACAATTAAAAATACTTATAGTACTTAAATGACTAATGAAATAGATGGAGATGCCCGGGTGTTGTGCATGTGTCTTAATTTCATCTTGTCGGTGTTATATACAATTCTTGTACTACTACTACTACTACTACTACTACTACTACTACTACTACTACCTCCACCTCTTCCTGCCTATATATAGCCGTCCTGCTCCACCTCTGTTAGTGTGACTTTGTCAATGGTCCAAGTCGGACCAAAACGTCGTCGTAAGCTTCTCTCTTTTATGTGCGGGTTATTTGTGTATCGTTCCAGTCACGGTATTGTGCCTTTTTGTTATTTAGATAAATAATCATTTAAATAAACATTTAAAATCACATTTACATACCTTTATTTAAGACTCTTGTTGGCTTATGGAAGATGGGGAGGAGCACATGCACACCACTTAAACATTTTTTGACGATTTCTTTCTTCAGTTCTATCGTGTTTCTCACTTTCTTTACCAAAGGGCTGGCACTAGGAAATTTTTTTTGGGCCCATGGTTAATTGTGTAGCAGTCGCACTCAATCAACAAGCACACAAAACAATGGATTATTATGAAATGTTTAGATGAATGCGCAGGGTAATGTTCACTCGAGGAGAAACAAAGCCAGACTGACTCGCAACGCATGTGTGGGATGCTTTGTGTGGGCACGGGCAGGCGGGCGGGTCTGGTACAGCGGCCGAAACTCAAGGTTCCACTTTACGTATGTGTAAATTACCATGGATAATCCCAAGAAGTCAAACAAATTGACTTATTTCCATTGGGATCTTTGTCTCAAGTAATGTAATCTCATAAATACTGAGGCTTCAGTGTACAGTATTAGCTTTCACATCAGCACATTAAATCCCCAGAAACACTGTATTGTATGTACTCTTTCAGTTTCTTTTTTTTTTTTTTTAACCTGCAGAGATGCTGATAAAAATAACAGTAATTACATGAATAGTGCTGAGTGGGATTTGCACTGAAAATTATCTGGTCTTTATGTATATAAAGCATGATCTGCATTGAAATTAATTATAGATATAGTAGTAACACTATTTCTTTGACAGATAATGTTTGTGTTGGGGTAGGATGTCCATCAATTTGTGTGTATGGTCTTCACAGCGGCCACCTCTCAATCCATTGGTAGGTGGACAACAGGAAAACACTATGAAGGTCTCCGATGCCTCTCCTACAAGGTCACCTACAAACACAACACAGCAAACTATCTGCAAACGCCATAATCCTGAAAACTCAGGTGTTGTCGAGAGTGAAAATGCTCCATTTTTATTACATAATAAGCGTCAGCGTACCAAAAGTGGGTCAGAGTCAGTGGAATCTTTAGCCGCTTGTCAAGACAGTGCCATACCTCCTGCAGACTGCTGTGTTAAAGGGGAACCTACACCCCTATGTGAACGTAATGTTAGAACTAGACTTGATGGACAAGATATAAATACACAGAGTACAGAACCCTCCTGTTCTTGCACAAAATGGGATAGTAATAGTGATAATTTAAGCAGCTTAGTGACTGGGGATAGTATGAGAAGTGACAGTAATAGAGAGTGTAAAAAAAACAGTGAAACTGATTTGACTGAAGAGAGTTTATTGACTGGAGTGTTTCCAAGTCATAGACTTATATCCAATGGAAATGGAAGTGGTGGGTTGTCTCCTCATTGTGCTGCCACTTTAGAATATGTAACCCAGTTGCCAGAAGGGTGTTCAGGTGGAGGGTCTAAAGCGTTAGTTCTACATTCCTCTGACTTGAATGGTTCTTGTGAGCCTAATGAGGAGTTAGAGGATGACGACAACTATCTTGATTCCTCGGAGGAAGAGGAGGAGGAGGATGAACTAACTCTTACTAATAATGAAGATGAAGAAAGCTGTGGTGAAGGTGAGTTTTAAGTTAATCTATTTTTGGTAATGAATAAATAATTTTAGTTTGCTGCAGCATTAGTGTATTTCTGTCATATTTTACATGTGTGAAGGCTTACAGTACAAAAAATGGTAATATTTAATAGTGCCACTATAATCAGATATATATAGTTGAAAATTCACACTGAAATTTGTTTTGTTTTGTATAATTATGGAGGCATTTGACCAAATGTTCCAAGAGATTTCTGCAGTTTTGGTTGAATTATTTTCATAGAAATTTGAGAATCCCATGCATGACTCCAAAATTAATTTTAGTACACAAATATTTTCAGCAATTTTTTTCTCTGCTGCATGATGTTAATGTGAATCAGCAATGCATCATAATTGAAATAAATGTCTGTACAGCATTTGTGACAGATATGGCTCAAGTGTAGTGCTTGCAGATCACATCTGAAGAACCCAGGTTCGATCCCTGCACAAATGGAAACTTCGGCATGTTTCCTTACACCTGTTACCTGAGTGTTTGCCTACTGTTCTTAGGTCACATCCTAGGTAAGAGGATGAAATGAACCCAATGGAAATAAGGCAGATTAAGTGGTGTTCTTGCATTATATGTTTATCTCTAAAAAAATTTTATGCATTACATGCATAAAAGCACATATGTGCATAAAAGCTACGGGACAAATTTCATTCACCTCTTGTTAGGAATGCCAGTCTTCACGAGCAGTACACATATGAATACATCCACGAATGAGTGGTTTTGAGCAAATAACAATACAGTGGAACCTCGGCTTATGAGTGCCCCACCATACGAGTTTTTCATGATGTGAGAAGTTACTCTGTCAATTTTTTGGTTCTGAATGCAAGCAAAAAATTCAGGATGCAAACTTTTCCCTCAAGGGAGGTTCCTTGACACTGGTGAGGGGCTCTTGATCTAGGGAATTGTATCTGTGCTCCAGTTCCCTAAATTAAGCCTGAATGCCTTCCAATCCCTTCCCCCCACAAGCACTGTATAATCCTATGGGTTTAGCGCATCCCCATTATAATAAAAAATATATAATAGTATAAATAATAGTAATGCGTCTAATAATAATATAATACAGTGGACCCACCTTTTTCATTGGGCTCTGTTTTCGCTCATTTCTGTTATTGCTAATTTTTTCCGTAAAATTATTGGTTCCGTTTTCAGTACTTCTCTCCGTTCTCATCGATGGTACAGTAAAAATATTGGCTCCATTTCTGTTGCTTTCCTCCGTTCTTGTTGGTGGTATGGTACATGTCCAAGTGTGCCATGCACACAACCTCCCACACACGCATTCTGAGGAGGCAGTGTCGCTTTGTTTCTGGGTGAGTGAACATTATCCTGTGAGGCCATAGGAAACATTTCGTAATATAATTCATTGTTGTTTGCTCTAGTTTATTCTGTGTGACTGCTAAATAAGCCACCATGGGCCAAAGAAAGCTGCTAGTGCCAGCCCGTTGATAATGAAGCTGAGAAACACGATAGAATTCAAGAAAAAAAACTCGTAGCAAAGTACCAAAGTGGAGGAGGAAGAGAGAGGGGAGAATGTGGCTTCTTCAGTGATTCAGTGATTCTATGATATGTATGATACTAAAGCAGCAGGAGCCGATAAAGGCTATAGCGGCAGCCAGCGATGAAGTGTAGCATTAACAGGGTAGCAAATAAGTTAAGCGATAGAAAAAGGACAACACGAAACTGTCATATTAGATCAACTGAGATAGATAAATAAGCTGTGGAATATAGTTCTTCTCTATAAAATGTATTTTTTGTTGATACTTTTGGATGTCTGAAGCGGATTAATTGTATTTACATTATTTCTTATGGGAAAGATGGTTTTAGTTTTAGTTGATTTCACATTTCGTTGGACTCTCTGGAACGAATTAAAGACAAAAAGGGAGAGTCCACTGTAATGCTATAATAATACGTATAATAATAATATACATGATAATAATACTTTAATAATAATACGTATTATAATGAGTGAGCTTCGAAAGGCTGTCACTAGATGGCAATGAATACCACAACAATGCAGGAGCGGAAATGGCTGCCTCCACTTGTCACATAAGGACATATTTTATTCATTCTAGAGTATATATAAGGTTTCTATGTTTAGTATGTCATATTAGATGAATTGTGATAGTTAAATAAGCCATAGAGTTGATATTAGCATTGTATTGAAAGTATTTTGTCCTGCCTCCTGAGAACAGGAATTCCGCTGGAATGGATTAATGGCATTTCAATTAATTTCAATGAGGAAAATTGATTCGATATACAAACGGATCGGGATACGAGCTAGGTCATGGAACAGATTAAACTTGTAAGCCGAGGTTCCACTGTACTGTGCTCGCATCAGGGGTAACATGTCCAGTGGTACTGGGCACCTGATATTTGAATCATTTGATGGCCAAGTGGACTAGTGTGTCTTGGAATTTTGGCAGGCCTCTTCGGATTCGATCCCCAGCTAGTCGTAGTAGTACTGTTATTTGCTTAAACCCACTCTTTCATTGATGCATTAATATGTGTACTGCTCATGAAGACTGGTATTCCAAACAGGAGAATGAAATTAGCCCTGTAGCTTCCATGGCTATGTATGTGCATGCATCAAAGGCAAAGAAGTGATTATATGAGAGTATAGTAGTACCACCACTCTTATATGGGTGTGAAGTATGGGTTGTGAATGTTGGATCAAGGAGGCAGTGGAGATGTTATGTCTGGGGGCAATATGTGACATAAACATTCTGCAGAGAATTTGTAGTTTGAAGATTAGGAGGAGGCATGAAGTTACTAAAAGTATTATCCAGAGGGTTGAGGAGGGGTTGTTGAGGTGGTTTGGTCATTTAGAGAGGATAGAGGATATGAGGATAACAAAAAGATTAGGTGATGAAAGATTGGATATCAGACTGGAGGGAGAGAGTATGGAGGAGGTGAATGTATTCAGATATTTGGGAGTGGATGTGTCAGCGGATGGGTCTATGAAAGACGAGGTGAATCATAGAATTGATGAGGGGAAAAGGGTGAGCGGTGCACTTAGGAGTCTGTGGAGACAAAGAACTTGTCCTTGGAGGCAAAGAGGGGAATGTATGAGAGTATAGTTTTACCAACGCTCTTATATGGGTGTGAAGCATGGGTGATGAATGTTGCAGCGAGGAGAAGGCTGGAGGCAGTGGAGATGTCATGTCTGAGGGCAGTGTGTGGTGTGAATATAATGCAGAGAATTCGTAGTTTGGAAGTTAGGGGGAGGTGCGGGATTGCCAAAACTGTTGTCCAGAGGGCTGAGGAAGGGTTGTTGAGGTGGTTCGGACATGCAGAGAGAATGGAGTGAAGCAGAATGACTTCAAGAGTGTATCAGTCTGTAGTGGAAGGAAGGCGGGGTAGGGGTCAGCCTAGGAAAGGCTGGAGGGAGAGGGTAAAGGAGGTTTTGTGTGCGAGGGGCTTGGACTTCCAGCGGGCATGCATGAGCGTGTTTGATAGGAGTGAATGGAGACAAATAGTTTTTAATACTTGACGTGCTGTTGGAGTGTGAGCAAAGTAACATTTATGAAGGGATTCAGGGAAACCGGTAGGCCGGACTTGAGTCCTGGAGATGGGAAGTACAGTGCCTGCACTCTGAAGGAGGGGTGTTAATGTTGCAGTTTAAAAACTGTAGTGTAAAGCACCCTTCTGGCAAGGCAGTGATGGAGTGAATGATGGTGAAAGTTTTTCTTTTTCGGGTCGCCCTGCCTTGGTGGGAATCGGCCAGTGTGTTAATAAAAAAAAAAATAGAGCAAAATAAGATGACTTAGAGGGTACGTATATAAATCTGTAGTGGAGGGAAGGCAGGGTAGGAGTCATCCTAGGAAAGGACGGAGGGAGCAGGTTAAGGAGATTTTGTGTGCAAGGGGCTTGGACATACAGCAGGCATATGTGAGCATGTTTAGAGAAGAGTGAGCAAAGACAAATGGCTTTTGGGACTTAACGAGCTGTTGGTGAACAACGTTATATTTTGTGAAGGGATTCAGAGGAGCCAGTTAGCCAGACTGAAAAAATTTGTGAAATTCTAAGCATTTTCATGATTCTCACATTATCAAGGGACTGAATCAAAGTTCTTTGATAATGTGAGAAATCACGAAAGCGCTTCGAATTTCACAATTTTTTCGCAGTGGTCATTCTGCATATTGTGATATCACCTGTTTAATGTGATCTTATTGTGTGCATTGCAGCCTCTCCTCACATAACGATGGAGTTCCGTTCCCAAGACCACGTCGTTAAATGAATTCATCGCTAAGTGAGGAGCGTACTATAATGGTAGTGGGTTTTTGTCAGCGATCTTTGATATTGTTTTAATATCACCTTTGCACCATTTATAACATTTCTGGTACATTTTTAAATGTTTATACAGTAGTGTACTGTATATTGTAATAAGCAGAATAGAGGAAATCAACTCGAATGTACACCTACCATCTGACTTACGACCTGCTCGACTTACGATCACTCGACTTAGGACCATGTTTTCTATGCCAAATTTCTGGGAAATAAACAACTATTTGTGTTGTACACAGTGTTTATCCTAAACCTTACAGTATAAAATACAGTACTAACAGCATAAAAAGTAAAGTAAAACATGAAATACCAAAATAAAACAATAAAATAAAGTCATTACAAAAATGTTTTCTTGATATTAAGTAGTAAAGTTCGACTTACGACCAGTTTCTCGGAACCGAACTCGGCCGTAAGTCGGATGGTAGGTGTACATTATTTAGGTCTGCATACTGATCAGAGCCCATCATAAGTTTGAGGCGCCAGTAAACAAGTACATTGCTAAGTGAGGAGAGGCTGTATTTATATATATATAACTTATTTAATTATTATTTATTTAATTATTTAGTTATTTAACCCTTTCAGTGTAGAGACCCGATCCTTAACTCAGTGTCGAAAATTTAAAAAAAAAAAAAAATTCCTTATGAAATGATAGAGAATCGTTTCCCGATGGTAATGACACCAAAGGTACGAAATTTGATGGAAAACCTGTGAAATTATGCTCTCGTGCAATTAGTGATCTTGGAAATATTTGCGCATTAGCGATTTCGCCCACTTTGAATCCTATTTTCTGCCAGTTCCATTGTTCCAGTGGACTAAAATCATAGCTATTTCATTAGAACTCATTTGTTCTATCAGTTGAGTATGAGGAACCGCCCATTTACCGATTTCAACTACCCAATAAAGTGATTGGAAATTGGCAATTTTGCCAATTTCACAAATTTAAAAAATTTGCCAGTTTCAAAATAGGGTTCAGAATAAACAAGTCATACATTCCTTGCACTAAAATAACATTTTCTCTGTTCATTAGTCATGTCTCCAGGCCCCTCCTATATTACTCTTGCTTTCCATTTTGAATTTTTATCCACAAAAAAATAGAAAATTTACTCTTATGCAGACTACTGCATTATTGTAGTAATTGTATAAATAATGTCAACCCATTCGTGACTGTATTAGACTGGCTAGTTGGACACGAATTGGACACTTGAACATCGGCAAAAATCGAACATTTCCACTACTTTGATTTCAATGTCAAGGAACTTTTCATCGTGAAACCAATCAAAATCATCTCCATTTCTGTAATATATCTTCCATTCTATCAAATGAGACCAAGAAAACGAGAATACAGCCATAAATACCATATGATAATACACTGCAAAGTTGCTGTTTTAAACCAAAAACATGGCAAAGTTTTTTCTTTCTCATTATGCACTGCGCTGCAGGTTTTTTTTTATAATGCTCACACTGACCATGCAGACCCATTCTTTCATGTGTAGGCCGACCAGCTTTCTTCCACCAGATTTGAAGGAGCTAGAATTTTGGCGTAGTATTGTGGGCCTGACACTGGCTCTCAAGCTATAATATTACGGAACTGACACTGAAACGGTTAATTATTTATTGAAGATATTGGCTATTTCTCACTGAGGTAGGGTGATCTGAAAAAGAAGAAATACTTTCATCTCTCATATCACTGTCTTATCAGAGACATTCCGATACCACAGTTCAAAAACTGCAATATATTTCCGCCCCTCCTTCAGAGTACAGGCACTGTACTACCCACCTTCATGTCTCGAGTCTGGCTAACTAATTTCCCTGAATCCCTTCACAAAATATTACCTTACACAGCTTATCAGGTCCCAAAAGCCATTTACCTCCATGTCTATGTAACATGCTCATACACGCCTGCTGGATGTCCAAGCCCCTTGAACATAAAACCTCCTTTACCTGTTCCCTCCATCCTTTCCTAGGATGACCCCTACCCAGCCTTTCCTCCACTACAGATTTATACACCTTCCAAGTCGTCATTTTTTTTTTTTAAGTCGACCGTCTCCCACTGAGGCAGGGTGACCCAAAAAGAAAGAAAATCCCCAAAAAGAAAATACTTTCATCATCATTCAACACTTTCGCCTCACTCACACATAATCACTGTTTTTGCAGAGGTGCTCAGAATACAACAGTTTAGAAGCATATATGTATGAAGATACGCAACATATCCCTCCAAACTGTCAATATCCCTAACCCCTCCTTTAGAGTGCAGGCATTGTACTTCCCATTTCCAGGACTCGAGTCTGGCTGTATAAAATAACTGGTTTCCCTGAATCCCTTCACTAAATATTACCCTGCTCACACTCCAACAGCTCGTCAGGTCCCAAATACCATTTGTCTCCATTCACTCCTATCTAACACACTTACGCACACTTGCTGGAAGTCCAAACCCTTCGCCCACAACACCTTCTTTACCCCCTCCCTCCAACCTTTACGAGGATGACCCCTACCCCGCCTTCCTTCCCCTACAGATTTATATGCTCTCCGTGTCATTCTATTTTGATCCATTCTCTCTAAATGACCAAATCACCTCAAGAACCCCTCTTCAGCCCTCTGACTAATACTTGTATTAACTCCACACCTTCTCCTAATTTCCACACTCCGAATTTTCTGCATAATATTTACACCACACATTGCCCTCAGACATAACATCTCCACTGCCTCCAACTGCCTCCTCACTGCAGCATTTACAACCCAAGCTTCACACCCATATAAGAGTGTTGGTACCACTATACTTCATACATTCCCTTCTTTGCCTCCATAGATAACGTTCTGTGTCTCCACATATACCTCAACGCATCACTCACCTTTTTTTCCTCATCAATTCTATGATTAACCTCATCCTTCATAAATCTATCCGCTGATACATCAACTCCCAAATATCTGGAAACATTCACTTCTTCCATACTTCTCCTCCCCAATTTGATATCCAATTTTTCTTTATCTAAATCATTTGATACCCTCATCACCTTACTCTTTTCTGTGTTCACTTTCAACTTTCTACCTTTACACACACTCCCAAATTCATTCACTAACCTCTGCAATTTTTCTTTAGAATCACCCATAAGTACAGTATCATCAGCAAAAAGTAACTGTGTCACTTCCCATTTTGTATTTGATTGCCCATAATTTAATCCCACCCCTCTCCCGAACACCCTAGCATTTACTTCTTTTACAACCCCTCTAAATGACCGAACCACTTCAACAACCCCTCCTCATCCCTCTTGACAATACTTTTCACTTCTCCTAATCTCCGAACTATTAACTCTCTGTGTAATATTTACCCCACACGTTGCCCTCAGACACGATATCTCCAATGCCTCTAGCTGCAACATTAGCATTCTTAACACCCAAGTAAGAGTGTTGGTACCACTGTACACACGAACATTCCTCTCATTGCTTCTGTGACTAACGTTCTTCGTCTCCACAGATACCTCGATGCACTACCCACATAAATACATACAGGAGGGCCCCACTTATACAGCAAGTTAGGTTCTGGGCTATTGCTGTAAAGTGAAAAATGTATACAAATGTATACAAAAGCCTGGTAACATGTTTACACTATCATGTATTAATTGAGCAATAGAACTAGGCCTTAAAAAAATGCATATACAGTACACACATTACTTACCTTAAAATACCTTTGTCCTTAGTTTACAGTGAGTGGTGAATATATTTATTGTAGGAAGTGTGAATAAATGAACGGGTATAAGTGAAAATTTTTGCTTTAGCAGAACACCATAAAACAAGATACTGTAAAGTGGGTCTACCTGTGTACATATGCATATGTGAGAGCACACATATAATTAAAAAATACAATATTATTTCAGATGATCAGAGTGTGATAAGCTGTGTCACAGTTGGATCAACATCTTCCCTGCATTCTGTTGCAAGTGAGATTCTCAACACTATTTGTATTAATGAACATGGAGTTGCAGCCAATGAAGATGGTAGGTTAAAAGATGGGAATGAAAGTGAATAAAAACTTCACATGAATTTAGTGTCTAGTTTAAATTATTTGATCTTGGTTTTTGTTTGTAATGAATTGCACTATTTTTTTTTCTTTTGTCCTGTTGATACATTATTGCTTTATTATGTAAATGCAGATACTGTGGGCATTGTGTATATAGTAATGCATTTTTGCGAGTCTAGAATCGTTCAGGGAAACCGGTTATTTTTATATAGCCGGACTTGAGTACACCTACCATCCGACTTACGACCTGCTCGACATACGACCATTCGACGTACGACCATGTTTTCTATGCCAAATTTCTGGGAAATAAACAACTGTTTGTGTTGTATACAGTGTTTATCTTAAACCTTGCAGTATAGAATACAGTACTAACTGCATAAAAAGCAAAGTAAAAAATGAAATACCAAAATAAAACAATAAAATAAAGTCATTGCAAAAATGTGATGTTGATATTCAGTAGTAAGGTTCGACTTATGTCCATTTCGACTTACGACTGGTTTCTCGTAACCGAACTCGGTCATAAGTCGGATGGTACCTGTACTGGAAATGGGAAGTACAATGCCTTCACTTTAACCCTTTGACTGTCACAGGCCCCTTTCTGAAACTGTCATTCTATGTCGATAAATTTTTGGGGAAAAAATTATTTTTTCTCATGAAATGATAGAGAATCTTTTCCCGATGGTAATGACACCAAAAGTACGAAATTTGGTCAAAAACTCGCGGAGTTACGCTCCCACGAAGTTAGCGGTCTTGGCTACATATATGCATCGACGATCGCCAACTTTGAGCCCTATTTTTGGCCAATTCCGTTGTTCCAGTTGACCAAACTCAGCTATTTCTTTAGAACTCCATTTTTTCTATCAGTTGCGTACAAGAAACCGCCCATTTACCAATTTGAACTACCCAATAAAGTGGTCAGAAATTGGCAATTTGGCCAATTTCAAAATAAGGTCCAGAATAAACAATGTAGACATTCTTGGCACTAAAATAACATATCCTCTGTTCATTAGTCATGTCTCTAGGCCCCTCTTTTATTACTATTCCTTTCTCTCTTGATTTTTTCATACAAAAAATAAAACATTTACTGTTATGCAGACTACTGCATTATTGTAAAAATGGTATAAATAATATGAGTGCACTAGTGAAAGAATATTAGACTCCCCAGTTGATGTCTGGTGTGATTTGCTTACTCTTGAACATTGGTAAAAATTGAACATTTCCGCTCAATTTCAAGGTCGTTTTCATCGTGAAACTAATCAACATCATTTCTGTTTCTGTAATACGTTTTCCATTTTATCATGCGAGACCATGAAAACAAGGATACAGTGATAAATACTATACAAAAATACACCTCGAAGTCGGCGTTTTAATCCAAAAAAAACTGTCGGAGTTTTTTTGTTCTCATTATGCGCTGCATGTTGCAGGATTTTTTTTATATGGTGCACACTGACCATATAGACCCATTCTCTCACATGTGGGCCTACCAGCTTTCTCCTGCTTGATTTGAAGCCGCTAGAATTTACGCGTATTAATACGTCGGAAACATTGGCGCGTAAGACATATATATACGACCGAAACAGTCAAAGGGTTAAAGGAAGGTTTTGGGATATTGGCAGTTTGGAGGGATATATTATATTTCTTTATACTATATGCCTCTAAACTGTTGTATCTAGGTGCCTCTGCAAAAACAGTGATTATGTATGAGTGAGGTGAAAATGTTGAATGATGAAAGTACATGTATTTTTCTTTTTGGGGATTTTCTTTCTTTTTGGGTCACCCTGCCTCGGTGGGAGAGGGCTGACTTGTTGGAGAAAAAAAAATGCTCGTGATTGTGTGAATGATGGTGAAAGTTTTTTTTTTTTTTTTTTTTTTGGGGGGGGGGGAGGGTCACCCTGCTTTGATGGCAGATGTGTTGGAAAAAAAATATCAGCACATTGGTATTGATAGTATAAATTTGATTATGTTTCTAATAGAAAGTTTAACGCACTGAATAATCAAAATTTCTAGTGTTTCATAAATCAGTTAGAACAACATTTTATGTACTATACTGTATTTAACATCTGTGTTTGATGTATGTAAATCTACATAAGATTCAGGAATTTTTAAATCCTTTCACTGTTGCTGTTTTTAAAAAACAAATATGTAATTTTTTCTTCTAAAATAGTATAGTATTTCTCTTAAGGTAATGACTCCAAAAAATGTTAAATTTGATGGAAAATTTAGGGAATTATGCAAATGCAAATTTGGCATTCTGGGCACAGTTGACATGGCAATTTTGCCCACTGAGGCTTCTCCTGTATGACATTTTCCCTCGAGGCTTCTATATAACATTTGTCCTCCAGGCTTCTCCTATATAACATTTGCCCTTCAGGCTTCTTCTATATATCATTTGTCCTCCAGGCTTCTCCTATATAACATTTGCTCTCCAGGCTTCTATATAACATTTACCCTCCAGACTTCTATATAACATTTGCTCTCCAGGCTTCTATATAACATTTGCCCTCCTGGCTTCTCCTATATGACATCTACCCTCCACTTAGAATCTTATCATTATCACCAATTTTTTTTTTTTTATATATATATAACTAAGAATGATTAGTCATGGTGTAATTCACCCCAGTAACTGAAACAGACCTAGTAAAAACCTCTACACTACCTCAGGAAAATTGCCAAAGATGGAATATTTTTGCAATTCTGTGACTTATTTTGTGCAGCTTCCGATCTGAAACCAACTAAAATCATTTTATCAATTGATAATGTACCAAGATACAGCCAATACAGCCATGAAACCTCTCTAAAGCATACCTTAGAATTGCTGTTTTAAGCTAGCACAAGGTCAGAGGGTAGCTATTCTCTTTATGCACTGCATGGGGCAGGATTTTTTTTTATACCGTGCACACCCAGTGCACAGACCAATCTCTTGTGTTTAGGCCAAAATTTACTAATCACAGCATACTGTAATTGAAATTGCTATGCTTAAGACTTGGATCCATGTGAGGAAGAGTGAAAGGGCATTAGAAATGGTTGGCAGATAAGGATCTTTTAGATTTTTCTGGTAGTGTATTCCATATTTTTGGGCCTTTTATTTGCATGGAGTTTCTATTTAGGTCGAGTCAAACATATAGGACATCAAAGATACTTGTGTGAGATGTCAGATTTTGTGTATTTAAATTTACAGTACTGTATATTTTTGTCTTTTGGTGATCATGGGTTTGGGATGTTTTTGTAATTGCACTGTAATAATGTATGTATATTTTTGTGATAATCATATTTGATGTAGATTGTATTTATAAATTATTTAATTTTAATATTTGTTTAGAAAGACACTAGTAAGCAAATTGTTCTCAAGCTGTCCCTGCAAGTTGTGTTTTTCATATATGGTTCTCAGCAAATTTCTCGAGTTGTGTTTAGGTTAGCTTAGGGCTAGGTTTGGTTAGTTAGATTGTTGTCTGTTAACCTATAACCCTTTCACTGTCAGTCACATAGATCTACAAGATTTGGGCCAGTTTTGTTTATGTAGATCTGCGTGTATATCAAATTTACTGAGCAGCAAATTGTGGCCTAGACATAAGAAAATAGCTAAGTACAAGGACATAGGTGCAACTAATATGACATTTTATTGTGGCAACGTTTCGTTCTCCAGGAGCTTTGTTGAGCCATTACATAACAGCTTGACGAAGCTCCTGGAGAGTGGCACGTTGCCACAGTAAAATGTTGCATTAGTTGCACTTGTCCTATTGCTTAATGTGTTGTTGGTAATTCTACCAACATTAGTACATAAGAAAATAAGTTTGTATAGTAGGCATGTCCATTATAAAAAAAAAAAAAAATCCTGCCCCACACAGTGAATGATAGGTACAGCTAACTTTTGACCTTGTGTTTGGGTTAAAATAGTGACTTATGATTTTTTCCTGGATAAATTTTGTGGTTTTTGTTGGCTGTTTCTTGGTATCATTGGATAGACTGGAAGACATACTAGGGAAAATAGGGAAGATACTGGTTGGTTTCAGACTGGAAGTGGCCTGAAATGTCAGAAATCTTCTATTTTGGGCAATTTTCCTCAGAAACGGTAAGACTACCTTCCCTCCTGGACAGCCTAAATCACGAGCAACCATTCTTGTTTATGGTTTATTGGCAGAGAAATAGGGGAAACATTGAATTATTGTGTTATGGTCGATTCAAAATGGAGGGCAAGTGTTATATAGGAGACTCCTGGGAATGTGATTAATGAACTGGAAAGATTGCTTTAATGATTAGAATGCCTACATCATTTTTTTAGGCTCTTTTTAAATTGTAATTTCTTGAAAATAATGTAAAATTGGCCAATTTACTGGCTTCTGGGCATTTTATAGGATAGTTCTAATGTGGGAATGCAGTTTCTTGAAATAAATGGATAGTATAGATGATACACTAGTGAAATAGTTGGGAATTGGGCTGGTTTGACTGCAGAATTGGCCTAAAATAGGCTTCACTGGGTGAAATCACTGTTGCATAGTATGCTCCCCAACCTCCTAATTCAATTCACCCCTGTGAAATTCCATAACTTTTTTTTTGCCATGTCTGCCATTTCCCACTGAGGCAGGGTGACCCAAAGAGAAAGAAAATCCCCAAAAGAAAGAAAAACTTTCATCATCATTTAACACTTTCACCATCACTCATACATAATCACTGTCATTGCAGAGGCACTCAGATACACAGTTCAGATGTCCCCCCAAAACTGCCAAGTCCCAAACCCCTCCTTTAAAATGCAGGCATTGTACTTCACATTTCCAGGGCTCAAGTCCAACTAACTGGTTTCCCTGAATCCCTTCACAAAATATTACCCTGCTCACACTCCAAAAGCTCGTCAGGTCCCAAAATCCATTTGTCTCCATTCACTCCTATCGAACACGCTCATGCACGCTTGCTGGAAGTCCAAGCCCATTGCCCACAAAACTTCATTTACCCCCTCCCTCCAACCTTTTTGAGGATGACCCCTCCCTCCTTCCTTCCCCATAAGTATTCTACATGAAATTTTACATTTTTGGAATTATTAGAAGGCTAGTTTATTTAAAAAATGTCAACACAAAAAAGGGCTTTCAATTTTGGAGGTGTCGACAGTGAAAGAGTTAAGCTGTTGGCAGCCCCTTAATTGAAAGGCCCTTCTCTGCCTGCATTTCTGAAGAAAAAAATATCTTTTAAAATGGTAGGTAATCTTTTTCTAAAGAAAAAGGCACCAAAAATAGGAAACTTTGTTCACTGCCATTAAATGAAATTGATTTGGTCTAAACATAATTCTGAAGGGATTATTTTTCGTTAACTTTAGTTTCATTATGTTTTCATACTGCAGGTTCATTGCTGTATACTGAGACTCCTGCGCCTTCACCCCTCCCGTCCTTGAGCCCTAGTCTGTTTTCGCACGTACCGCCTTCAATCAACTTCTGCCAGTACAATGAAAAAACGGTCGAGTTTCCCCTAGTTATTGGTAGACTACTTAAATGGAGATTTACGAACATAACTCCACTCATTGTTAGAAAAACTGTATCGAATTCTGGATTCAGGATAACAAAGAGTTAGTAAACCAATTTATTTTGGGTGTTGAACTTTATTTGCCGTTAATTTTTATACGTATATATTAATTTTTATATTTGGTATTCTGTTATTTTAGTGTCGTGAGAAATATCAGAATATATCTTAATGTTCATTGAAATTTTAGATTAAAAGGCTTTATTCTTTTTCCTCTTTTGGTTAGAAACCTTGCAGTGGTGTGGTACTTGGGGCAAGCATATGAAGTCGCCCTGTTTTAAGGCTGTGCGGGAGTTTCAGAAGATAAACCACTTCCCTGGTACTTTCCAAATTGGTCGAAAGGATAAACTGTGGAAGAACTTTGTGCGGCTTCAAATAAAATTTGGGAAAGAGGAGTAAGTTGATGGCTAGTTCATTTCACTTGGATTTCTCTGGAATCTTGAATAATCCGTGAATATTTTTTACTCGTATTTTCAAAGACAGTGATTATGTGTGAATGATGGTGAAAGTGTTTCTTTTTTGGGTGACCCTGCCTCGGTAGGAGACAGCCAAGTGTGTTGAACTTCTGTAATACAATATATGGTAATGGCTGGAACTATTCTTATTTTACACAGTTCATTTTCTAATGCTATTACCAGTGTCAACTTTTAAATTTTCCTGCAATTGGAAAAAGACTTGCTTAGTTATGGCTTTGAAGCCAGTGTCGGTCCCATAATACTACACCAAAATTTTAGCAGCTTCCAGTCTTGCAGGAGAAAGCTGGCAGGCCTACATATGAGAGAATGGGCCTACACAGTCAGTGTGCACAGTATAAAAAAAATTGTGCAGTGCAGAGTGCATAATAAGAAAAAGCTGGAACCGTGTTTTTGGTGGTTTACATAATAAAAGTAGCTTGAATATTGAGTTCAGAGTAGCAGAAATGTTCGATTTTTGCCAATGTTCAAGAGTAAACAAATCATGTCATGTGTCCAGTATGTCAACTGGCCGGTCTAATATACACTCATGAATGCGCTGACATTATTAATACAATTATTACCATTATGCAGTAGTCCGAATAACAGTAAATCTTCTATTTTTTGTGTGAATAATAATTCAAAATGAAAAGGGGCCTGGAGATGTAACTAATGAATGGAGAAAATGTTATTTTAGTGCCAGGATTATCTACATTGTTTATTATGGACCTTATTTTGAAATTGGCCTTTCTTGAATTTTGTGTGAAATTGCCCAAATTAGTAACTACTGATCATTTTATTGGGTAGTTAAAATAGGTAAATGGGCAGTTTCTTGTGCTCAACCGATAAAATAAAAGGAGTTCTAACTAATTAGCTATGAATTTGGTCGACTGGAACAATGGGGTTGGCCCAAAATAGCGCTCAAAGCGGGCAAAATCGCTGATGCGTAACTGTCGCCAAGACCGCTAACTTCGTAAGAACATAATTCCTTAAGTTTTTGATAAAGTTTCATGCTTTTGGTTTCATTACCTTCAGAAATAGATTATCTATCATTTCATAAGTTTTTTTTTTTTATAAATACCCTGGGAGTAAGTTTGCAAGCAGGAGTTGTTACACTCAAAGCGTTAACCTCAGTGTTTGATAGCGCAGTGTTTGGCCAAGCCCAGGCAACATTCAAATCTGCACTTGTATCACATGGGGAGTGAGAATGGGTTTAGTATAGTACCGGATCATGGGCATTTAAACTTCTGTTCTTTACTGGAGGCTAAGTTTAGTTCCCAAAGGTATGCAAGTACCTTGTATGTAAGTATGCACTACAGAATTGTTATGTATACCAAAGACACCCTATTTTGAAGCAATCACCCTGCAGCTAACTAACATTGTTTAATATTCGTATCTGAGCACCTCTGCAAAGACAGTGATTATGTAAGAGTAATGGCAAAAGTGTTGAATGATGATGAAAGATTTTCTTTTGGAGTTTTTCTTTCTTTATGGGTCACCCTGCCTTGGTGGGAAACGGCCGATGTGTTAAAAAAAATATATAATTTTGGTTGACAACTATATAGTGGTTTTATAGCTAAAGCCTTTGTTAGTGACATCAATAATAATATTTGAATATACAATTTTCATATTTTACATATCCTTGTATATTTCTAGCATTATGAATGTATTTAGTTGCAAAAGATAGTTCTCTATATTTTCTCTCTCTCCAATACTTAATTTTGATAATTTGGCATTTAATGATATTTTTCACTTCAGATTTGGTTTTATTCCAAAGACATTTGTTCTTCCGGGGGACATGAAAGCCTTCAAAGCAGCATTTGAAAAGGAAGGTGTTAAGAAAAAATGGATTGTTAAACCCCCAGCATCAGCTAGAGGTGCAGGTATACAGGTTAGTATTGAGGAGATACCGGAGATAATCAGCAGACCTTATAAATTGGGAGTCACCATAACCGTAGTGAGGTGGCACTTTTTCTTTCTGTATGCTAATGACTGTAATGGAGATGTATAACGTAGAAAAATATTGGTAGTGTGTTAATTGATAATAGTGATCTGTTCTAAAAAAAGTTTTCCATGAATGGTATCACAAGCATCACAGTAATAAGGACAATGTTTCATGCAGATTTTTTAACACTGGCCCTTTCCTACTGATTCTTCAACTGTTTTTCTAGAGGGACTAAAGACACTTGTAGTAGAGAATTCTTTCTCAATTTCTCACAATTCAGATGACCTTCTGAGCTGCAATAGAAAATTTTTTTTTTTTATTTAACTTGAATATAATTGATGTACTAATACAGTATGGTCATTTCATTCACAATTTTATTTAATTCCTGAAACCCAAAATTTTTTTTAAACACGTGTACATGAAAAATTCCTTGTTCACTCCCTTTTTTTAAAGGGGTCACCCATAAAAAATTCTTTTTGTAGGTCGTCACTCGCACCTTGCTTGTTGGTATTTATAGCCTCCCCCCCCGTTAACTAACGTAGCAGCCCTTTATCAAAATTTTTAACAAGTAAATTGGGAGGGTGGCAGTTATAGGAAATCTTCTCATCTGACAAAAATTAGCTGTATGTTGCGGTTAATGGGAGTAAATGGAAACAAATGTTTTTGGGCCCTGGCGGCTTTTTGGTGGGAGCAGGGTAATATTTTGTAAAGGGGATTCAGGAAAACGGGTTAGCGGATTTTGAGTCTTGGAGGTGGGAATACAGTGCTTGCACTTTAAAGGAGGGATTTGCTGTTTGGAGTGACATCTAAACGTCCTACTAAGTGGGCCTCTGCAAAGACATGATTAAATGTGAATGACGGTTTTTTATTTCTTTTTTGGTCACCCTATCTTGGCGGGAGCAGAGACAAGTTGGAAAAAAAAATATAATTTTATCTGTTTTGAGGGGTATCAACTGTCATATCAATACATCTCGGCAAGAAAAAATTTGATGATTTTTTTTTTTTTTTTTTTGTCACCAAACGCCTCGGTGGGAGAATGATGTGAATAATAAATAATATATCACTTAGTTTTTACTTTTTCAAAACTATGTGGTATAGAGGGGTACGGTTAAAAAGGGGCCCTTTCGAGGTTATTCAGGCTACTCCCGAAAGCAGACATCACTGGAAAGCAAAAAAGGTTTTTCTTATAAATGTTATGAAGGCCAGATAAAAGTTAGTTGAGTATTTTAATTAGCAATAGAAAAAGAATAAAAAATAATAAAAGTACACTCTAATTAACCTCAAAATTGTGTCTAAGGGTGGGAAAAGGTGGTAGTATTTACTGTAGGAAGTCGGTTAGTACCCCCAGCCACCCACCACACATAGTATACTACGACAACTTAAAGTGCCCTAGAGTGATAAAATGTATATACAGGGAACTTAAAAAGGACTGTTCCAACCACAATTTATAGTGTATTTTGTAAGTGCTTTATAAGTGATTTTTGAGGTCTGAAATGGACTACTATTGTACATTATTCCTCATGGGAATTAGTTAAAAAGTGCGATTCTAATGCTTAAATCTCCAGTGAAAACAGAAAGTGACTGCCTTCTGCATCCAGCCTGTTATGGTTTGCAACAATAATTTCTTTATGTCCAATTTCTTAGAATCATATGATTCAGTAGTGCGATTACAACTGGTAGGCTACTAACATAAAAATTAAATTAATATAATTTATTAATTGCAATATCAGTTAAATTAAATTCAAAACACAGTAAGCAAATATATCACTTTCAAACATATTAGTTACTGAAGCAAAACACATTTATAATTCTTAATCATCTCTTACTTAAGAATTACAAATTGTGCAAGTTTGTGTATGTGTAAAGTGCTCAAGTAGTCGTTATGTCTCAATGACTCGATACCTAGACTTAAACATGTGACGACAAGCGTTCCTCACATAAACTAACTTCTTGACCGCTGGCAACCGAACATTCCTGCTTAACAATAAAGAATGCTAAACCCAATGAAAATAGAAGCAACTGCGACACAGATCAGGAACAAGAGATAATTAACGACATAATAGGGCCAACCGAGTCTACCAAGTCACTAAGTAGGACATCTGCAATCTCAAGTCCAAAAAATCCATACTATAAAATTTTCCACATAAAAAATCCGCATAATACACAGATCATAAAGTTAAGAAGAAAGCTACAGCTCAGTAACCTAGTTGCTCTGGTGTCTATGTGCCACATTTAGTTAATCGAAAATCACCAAGTTATAAATGTGTAGACAGTTCTACAGAACTAACAGAGAATAATGAGAACAGACATCGTTCAACCCCAAAGAGAGTCTAGACCATACTGAATATTCTGCGAGGTGAGAACAAACGCCTCACAAGAACCGCACGTCTAACGAGCCACAAGCGATAATTACAGTATTAGACAATCAAGATTGAACGGAGCATTAATGTAACATACCTCACAAAATTTCCAAGTAATAATAAAAATTAAAGTCAATAATTACATTTAGCCATTATCGCAAATATAAGCAATATAAAATTATATGAAAGTGTTGTTATATTAATATATTAGAAATCCAAATATACATCATAACTATTGAAACCATCAGGTTTGCAACACCCCCCAACACGACAAAGTTCCACTAGGAGTTGCATTAATGTTTTAACATTATTCCGATTCTCATATCAATCAATTTAATAAAACATTAATCAGAGTTTTTGGACCTCTAATTTCACGCGTTTGTACCTAAGAATATGCCCCGTACTTAGGCAGTACCAGTATCGTATCTCCGCATACTCGGGTTATTCGTCAATTTAACAATTCGTATGTTATACGCACATAGCCTCGATCATAGTAGTGAGAATGATTTTTCTTAAAGTAGTTGGTGTGGATGCTATGCAGTATGGACATCTGAGTATGAAAGGTTAAGGTGTGTAGTGAGGGGGGGGTCTGCGGCAGGACAGTGTTGCTCACGCAGTACACCCCAACCACACTACCCACTCATCACTGCATTATGTCTCCTCCTCATACACATCACTACTGTGAATATATAAATATAATAATTAGACATGAGTATACATAGTTAATATGGGCTGGAGGGATTAAGTTACTGTACTGAATTTGACATAGCAAGTAACAAAAGGTATTTGGGCATAAAATTACGTAAATTTAATGTAACTGATAATTATTAAGGACGTGACAGAGCGTCAGCAATTACATTACAATGACCACTTGTGTTTTATACTAATAGAATAAGGTTGGATTCTGAGGGCCCACCTCATGATCCTAGCATTTTTACTTTTCATAGTGTTAATATAAGTGAGTGGATTGTGGTCTGAAAAAACGTTAATTTTAAATGGGGAAGTGCCCAAATACACGTCAAAATGTTCCAAGGACACCACAAGAGCTAGAGCCTCTTTCTCAATAGTGGCATAATTTTTCTGGTGTCGTTCAAGCTTAGATGAATAGTAACATATAGGATGGAGAATATCAGTGGATGTTGACTGTTGGAGCAGCACAGCGCCCACTGCATAACCACTCGCATCTATATGTAAAAAGAAGGGAAGATTAAAATTAGGACTTTTCAACACAGGAGCAGAGGAGAGCAAACGTTTCAACCTTTTGAACGAGTCTGAACAATCTCTAGTCCAGGTGAACTGAACTTTGCTACTAGTAAGCTCAGTGAGAGGAGCTGTAATCTGAGAAAAGTTTGGACAGAACCTGTGATAATATCCTGCCATACCCAGGAATCTCTGTACTCCCTTCCTATCCTGTGGCACTGGAAATTCAGAAATTGCACGAACCTTAGCCTCAATAGGAGCAACCTCACCTTGGCCGATACAAAAGCCTAGATAGGTAATCTTGGCTTGACCAAAACTACATTTAGCTAAGTTAACAGTGAAGTTGTAGTGCGCCAGTCTCTCAAACAATGCTCTGAGACGCGTCAAGTGCTGTTCCCACTCGTCACTGTACACCACTAAGTCGTCAAGGTAGGCTTCTACCCTAAGTTGTGGGTCAACTCGTTCATTATACGTTGGAATGAAGAAGCCGCGTTACATAGGCCGAAGGGGGTGACGAGGTAGTTAAACAATCCATCTTGAACAGTAAAAGCAGATATTTCTTGAGCCTCGTAAGAGATCTAAACGGCTGACAAACTGGGCTCCTGACACACGGTCAATAAGGTCGTCAATGCGAGGTAGAGGATAACCATCAGGCAAGGTGACAGAGTTCACTTTCGGTAAAGGCACTCAAACAGCCTTCTGGACAGAAGAAAGTTCGATATTTGAGGTTCCACTGTACAGTACACTCATTACTTACTTTAAAATATTTGTAGTCTTAATGTAGGGTGAGAGGTGTGTAAGTGAGATAAAAACGAATAAACGAGAGGAGAGAATGAGTAAGATGACAGAGCCGTAGAGTACTTGTATAAATACACCGTCTGGTTATGGTTGATACTCGTTCATACAAACACCTTACATTGTGTACAAGTTGTCTCCACAGTGGTACAATAGAATAAATAAAGACCAACACTTTCATTCTTGTGTAATTTTTAGAAGGAATGATGCTCTGACAAATATTATTATTATTATTACAAGTTTATTATTATTACAAATTATTATTACAAGTTGTTGTTATTATAATAAGAAAGAAGCACTAAACCCACAAGGGTCATAAATAGCTATAGATAAAGTGAAGGCATATGAAAGGAATATTTTCCTACAGTAAAGTAACTTGTGTTTGGCTAGCGAAAACGTAATTCTTCTGACACTCGTACAAACCGCTTGGTAAACAAATCTAATATTTATGTCAGTTTTTATACTGTGGGTGTATGTATCATGTTTATATGTTACATAGCGTGTTTATTATATAATTTTGAAAAAATATCATAGATGGATTAATGGAAATGTCTGTATTAACGTAATATACAACATTTAATGCACCCAAGAGATTATATGGCATGAAGAGTAGAGAGACAGTGATTTTATTGTGTATCTGCATGAAAGCACAGTGTGTAAGTATATTTAGGTACAAGTACACTTTCTTCTTCTTTCAACGCACCGACCGTATGCCACCGAGGCGGGGTCCCCCCCCCCCCAAATGGAAGTATCTCCTTTTACATTTAGTAATATATACAGGAGAAGGGGTTATTAGCCCCTTGCTCCCGGGATTTTAGTTGACTCTTACAACACGCATGGCTTGCAGAGGAGAAAAGGAACTTCAGTGACAGGTACACATAAGTATAATTATCACATGTACTGTATATTTAAAATATGCAATGACTTTAAAACACTTGAAATTTTGGAAAATTTCCAGACATAATAGAGATGTTCTCATGGAGGATGTAAATAAACTGGGTGGGCTCGCTGTATAGCAAGTTTTGTCATAATTTGAAATCGCTGTATTAGCGGAGCCCCATAAGGCAAAACGCCGTAAAGCAGGGCCCTACTGTATCAATACTTCGATGATTGTCACTGCTATCTAGAATGATGTAAGAATTTTCTGCTCTTACACATGTGCATCCTAAATTTATGACTTCCAAAATATTACAAACTGAACACTATTTCATTTTGATATAAAATTTATGTACAGGAGCCAAGATGTTCTCCCAACATATATTGCATAATGTTGCTCTACATTTAAAATTGCTATGATTTATGTCTTTTATTTATACTGTATACATCTTACCCAGTTGCCCACATCTACAAATACGTCTCTCAAGAGGCACTGGTTGTATGTTTCTAGAGGTCTGTTGAAACTAGAAGTCTTGAATAACTGCTTATTACCCATCAGTAAAGATTATAAATAATTAAAATTCACAAATAACGAATACTCTGAATTTGAAGGGAAGACTGTATATTTTATTTGTCATGCCCATATTAAAATTTAAAGGTTACTGTTTCACTTATTTTGTAATGGATATTTACATATAAATTTATCTTACAGGTTGTCCATAAATGGTCACAAGTACCTACTGATTCACCTGTAGTGGTTCAGAGATATATCAGCCGCCCATACCTCATCAACGACACCAAATTTGACATACGTATTTATGTGCTAGTAACATCCTTTCATCCGCTTAGAATATACCTTTATCAAGATGGACTTGTAAGATTTGCATCAGGTGAGTAGACTTTCCTTGGTCAAAATGCTTAACTGGTATGAAGGTTTTTTGATGTGCTTAAATTTAATTTTAAGGAGGGATAGAGGTCTTCATTGAAAAGGTTGGAGGGAGGGGGTAAAGGAGGTTTTGTGGGTGAGGGGCTTGGACTTCCAGCAAGCATATGTGAGAGTGTTAGATAGGAGTGAATGAAGACGAATGGTTTTTGGGACCTGACGAGCTGTTGGAGTGTGAGCAGGGTAATATTTACTGAAGGGATTTACGGAAACCGGTTAGCCGGACTTGAGTCGTGGAAATGGGAAGTACAGTGGTACCTCAAGTTTCGAACAGTTCCCAACTTGAACAATTTCGTAAGTGTTTTATTTGTAAGTGCTTTTGCAAAGACTAATCTAATTTACATTATTCCTTATGGGAACAAAATTGTTTGGTAACGGCACTCGAACAGCCTTCTGGAACGAATTATGGCCGAAAATCAGGGTACCACTGTACAGTGCCTGCACTTTAAAGGAGGGGTTTGGGATTTTGACAGTTGGGAGGGACTTCTAAACTGTCGTATCTGAGCGCATCTGCAAAGACAGTGATTATGTATGAGTGAGGTGAAAATGTTGAATGATGATGAAAGTATTTTCTTTTTGGGGATTTTCTTTCTTTTTGGGTCACCCTGCCTAGGTGGGAGACGACCGACTTGTTAAAAAAAAAAATAATTTGTAGATAAAACTGTGAATGATGTAATTGCTTCACATATTTGAGTTTTTTAAGTAAAGATTGTGCACACCTCTGGCAAGACTGATTGAGCAAATGATAATTAAAGTGTTTCTTCTTTTTTTGGGTCACCCTGTCTTGGCGGGAAACAGCCGATGTGTTAAAAAAACAAATTGAGTTTAGGTCATAGAACTTAGTCTCACCTCTTGAACCTTGACTGACTGACACAAAAGTAGTTTTGTTTTGCTTTATCAAGTTTTAATGTTCATTTATGTCTGCACTGTATTATTGTCCAGCTCAGTGCACTCTACCACTTGTGTTGTAAGAAATGTTTGGATTATTATTGTGGCTCTTTTGCAAGTGTGATTTCCTGCTACAGATAAAGAATAGTTTATTTGCAAAATTACTCTTCTAATAGATTTACTGACTAGAATAGTGTAAATAAGAATGAACTTGAAATGTACAGTACAGTACTGTTTAGTAATTTTATGGCACATAATTTAAAGTAATTTTATCTACCTTGTTGTGGTGGAGAGGCAAAGTGTAAACTGTTTATTTAGCACCATAAACCTCGCATACTCGTGCCACTGAGATGCCAAATTCTACCTTCCTTCTTAGTTCAAGTCTCTGACTAGTGCTCAAGAACTACACACATCCTCTTGGCACAGCCACTTGATTTAGAGGTCATCGTTAATTGCATGTCACTTAATATGTTAATAAAGCTGCACAAAACAATACAAATCCAGGGAAAATCAGACTGAATGACGAATGAGCATAGACAATAAACTGACGCAGGCAGCCTGTGGCTCGGGAATAGTGAAAACAGACAGGTTCTGGGCCTGGATGCTCTGGCCAATGTAGAATAAGTGTCTGAATTGTTGAACTTGGTTCAACAATTCAGAGTACTGCACTTCTGTGACCCTATTGTCTTCCCACACCCCGAATTGCATTTGCAGTAAATCTGTTATCACTTTCCCTCAAAGCCATATACATAGTCTGTAAACTCAATATAAGTTGTAACAAATGAGTATCAGTGAGTAAACAAAGCAGAATAGACAGTAGGATCACAGACAGTTGGTAATGGAACATGAACAGAAGTTCTGTTTCCAGACTTCCTATTAGAAGCCTCGTAGCTCAGTAGTAAAGCACTGAACTTGCCACCACCAGGGTCACAGTTCGTTCACTGCCTCATTTCATTCTTTTCTTATTCACTATAGTTCATGGTGAACTTTAATGAAATGCCTACATGTAGGTAAGAAACTTTTGGAGTAAGCCAAGTACACAATTAGACATCAAAATTACTGAACATGAAGTAAAAAAAAAAAAAAAAAAAAAAGAGTACCTAGATCTGCTCATGGTTAAAAATTTAAATTTAATGCTTGTATCCAGCTAAAAAAAAAACTATAGTATATTCTGCAAAATTTGCTATTATGTTCCTCTGTCTGTACTGCTAACTCTTCTCTCTCATTTACCATACCTCACCTATAGAATTTGTGCCAGGGGTATTTACCTAGCCATACATTTCAAACCATTTATTATTATAACAAAAGGCAGCTATTAGAACAATTACAAGTTCAGATTTTAGGCAACACCCTATGCCTTTATTAAAATTCCTAAACCTACTAAATATAATTGCCATACATATTGTTCAGTCCACATCATCAAAACACCACTGTTATGCTGATGCTAAACTAAGAGACTTTCTGGAAACCTTTCACACAAAATAAATGCCTCTTTATTCCTAATGTTCACCTGAGCCTCTATAATAATTTGAGCCAAATAAAAGAGACGGAAATGGATAATGACTATAGGTGAAAAATTTTTAATTCGATGAATTCAAGTATATGCTTGAAAAAAATTATTCGTACCTAATGTATTTTTGTGAAAAATTTCACTGGAATTCCTTAAATTCCAGTAAACTTTCTCCCAAGTTATAAATTATAATCTTGATGCATCAGTTGTTTACACCATGTGTCAGTTGTATCACTTCATTTAACAAGAGAAGTTTCAAGTGAGGAAACTTTTCATGCGCTCTACTCTTTTCTAAAATATTTGCGAGCTAACAGCTCCATTTAAGGTTGATAAATTTGCTGACCTAAAAAATGTTAGGCTGTAATGTTAGTGTGCCTCTGGCAAGAAGGTAATGGAGTGAGTAATGGTGAAAGTGATTCTTCTTTTTGGGTAACTTTATCTCAGTGGGAGATAGCTGGTGTGTTAAAAAAATGTGTAGTTACAGTAGTTGGTATAGCTACCTCTTAAAAATACATGAATCAAAAAATATGATTAACACATATATTGAAAGTTAATTTTATTTAAGAAAGTATTAATGAAATCTAAAAAATACAGAAAAGTGATATAAAGTATACAGCAGATTTCTCTCTCTGTAATGTCCTCAGTATATGTAGAATATTATCTGAATGTAGATGGGTTGATTTTAATGATAACTTTCCTGCCAATTTTTTTTTTCTGATCTTTATTTGTTTTTTTGTTGTTTTTTCCAGTACAATACAACAATGCATCAACAAGCTTGAGTGATAGATATATGCACCTGACCAACTACAGTGTCAACAAGTCGTCATCCTCGTATACCCACAATGTTGATGCAGGACAGTGTCAGGGTCATAAGTGGACTATAAAATCTCTCTGGGGCTATCTAAAGGTACAATTGCTGAATTAAGACAACTTTCCATGGTTGCAGATAGGGGCAACTGATTACCTTTTAGCAATGTTGGAATAATGAGTATTAAACATTAGAATGAATGTTAATATAATTAAACACCTGGTAAAAACTTACAAAGTTTTATTATTTCTTAAAATTGAGTAGAATTTTGTTTAATTAAAGGTTAGTACACTAACCCATCAGTATACATTGTAATGTTTGCACTGTAATTATACATTTCTGTGCCTATAAAAGTGTTGCACCCATTCTAGCTGTATTTCTACAGTTATTGAAAATGTTGGTGATTGATTTTAGAGTGAATAAATGTTTAGGCAAGAAAAGTTGTATTAAAGGCACAATAAACATGTTACTGAGGCTCTGCCTAGGTACCCTTACTATCAAAGCAAGGCACATTTTATATAAACATTTTAGAAACCCATGTTGATTAATGAAATATTTATGCAACATTTAAGTATCTTTGTGGAAACATATTGGACTAAGGAAGCCACTGACTGGTGAAATGTTTCCATAATGAAGATACCCATATGTTGCACAAGTGTTTCATTCATCAAATCACATTTTGTAGAGATTAGCCCAAATATTCCTAGGTAAGGCAAAGTACTATTCATTTGGCTAAAAAACTGAGGGAAGGTATACGAGCTAGTCTCCTTCCCGCTACCGTCCTGTTATATTATGTTAAACAGCAGTAATATTAGGTGAGGGAGGTGAGTCATCATATTTTTTTGCTGACTTCTTTGATTCACCCTAAGCATGTAATGTGTTCTTTTCCACTAAACACAATGTTATTAGACCCTTGTGCACAGAGCATAGAAAATAAAAGTTATACAAACAATTCATGTGTGTATTAGAGAGTTTGATGACAGAAATTTGCTGTTTTACATTGTTACTGGGAGTCGGTCAGATTCAGCAGTTATCTCCTCAGTTTCTGGACATGGCTTGATAGGGAGTAGCTGTCCATGGCCCTACAGACTCCCAGTACTAAAACCAGCTGATGCTGCCTACAACATGCACACTATGCAAGATAACCTTGCTACATCTAAACTCAGCCCGTTAGGCCCACATTAACTCTCCCCATACACTTCAAATGTCTCGTGGCAGTCTTAACAATGTAAAGTAGGATACTGCATCATTTTTTATGTTTAAGGATATTTAAAAAAAGTGACAAAAAGTTCTTCAGATTTGTTAGCATTAAGTTAGATTACGTGCCAGTTTTCAGGAACTTTAATCGACCGTCTGCTGTATGTTAATCGTAGCAAGGTTAGGTAAAGTTGCTTAGTGAGTTTTGGTGTACTGGTAAAAAAAATATAGACTGCAGTAAAATATTAACATATCAGACATAGCAAGGGGTCTGGGAGAACTTTTATACAAAAGATAATTACAGATAGATCATATAAGGGCAACATTGAGGAACTCACATTAAACATTTGACTATTTTAAGAAAGTAAAAATAGTTGGTAGTATTGACTATCTGATACTCATCATTTCAGACAAGAGGTGTGGATACGTCAGCTCTCTGGAGTCGTATTGCTGACCTAGTGATAAAGACTGTGGTCAGTGGGGAGCATGATATTGTGGTGCGCACGAGGAAAAATGTTCGATCCAGGTATTATATGAATATTAGATAGCATCCTTTATTCTGTTTTTATCTTGAAGATTTGAGAAATTGGTAATATTCATCCTGTTCCCAAAGATAGAGGTTTGAATTATCTTGGCAGAATGGTAAATGTTTCATTTTCTTTAATTTTATTAGTATATCTCTGGTGTTCTACACTTTTGAAGTTCTTCACCATTTCTAAATTTTCTATATTTGATTAGCTTAAATAAATGTCAGTTTTTTTTATGCTTGTATTTCTCAGTAGTAATGTATGTCAAGATACTTAATTTAAACTTAAATACTGTAGAACATGGGTGGTTCTCAGAGTTGTACTTTGACTATTTGAGACCCTAAACTGTGTTTAATTTGAGGCCCTCAAAATTCAAAAGGTGAAATAAGTACAGCGTAATAGGAAAGTATGGGGAGGAAGGCAAAACCTTTTGAGGCTCCTTCTCACATCACTAGGCCTTAAGCTGTAGCTTAGCTTGCCTATAAGTGTGTTTTTGTGTTAGGTAGGAATGAATGGAGGCAAGTGGTTTTTTTATGACTTGACATCCTGTTGGAGTGTGAGCTAGGAAACAATGATGAAGGGATTCAAGGAAATTGGTTAGCTGGGCTTCGACTCTTGGAGGTGGTAAAGTATAGTGCATGCACTCAAAGGAGGGGTAGGGATATTGCAGTTTGGAGGGGCATCTGAACTGAAGTTTTGACATGCCTCTGGCTAGTTGGTGGGAAACAGCCAGCGAGTTAAAAAAAATAATTTCCAGTAATCATTTAACACAGATTGCATGATAAAATTGCAGTACAATAAATCACAATGTTTAATAATATTTGCCGTTTACAATCAGCTGTCAGTCTTAATGTGGTCGTCTCAAAATGACCTGCTTTCGCACATCACAAGACACTTCTATAATGTTACAAATGATCTTTAGTAATTCCTGTGCTAACATGATTAATGTACGAGTGCTGAAAAATAAAATGTTAAGTGTTACAAAAACATTATATCTATATCTATTAACCTTATGGAGCAAGCAACTTGTTGGTCATACCTGCCAGAACAACAGCTGATTACCCCATACCTAGAGAGGGTTCCGGGGGCCAACATACCCACAGCCTGGTCCATGACCAGGCCTCATGGTGGATCAGGGCCTGATCAACCAGGCTGTTACTGTTGGCCGCACATAAACGAACCACAGCCTGGCTGGTCAGGTACTGACTTTAGGTGCTTGTTCAGTGCCAGTTTGAAGACAGCCAGGGGTCTATTGGTAATCCCCCTTATGTATGCTGGGAGGCAGTTGAACAGTCTTGGGCCCCTGACACTTATTGTGTTGTCTCTTATCATGCTAGTGACACCCCCTGCTTTTCATAGGGGGGGTGTTGCATCGGCTGCCGAATCTTTTGCTTTCGTGGAGAGTGATTTTTGTGTGCAAATTTGGTACTAATCCCTCTAGGATTTTCCAAGTGTATATGATCATATATCTCTCCCACCTGCATTTTAGGGAATACAGGTTGAGGAACTTCAAGCGTTCCCAGTAATTGAGGTGTTTTATCGCAGATGTTTGTGCCTTGAAGGTTTTCTGTATATTTTCTAGGTCAGCAATTTCACCTGCCTTGAAAGGTGCTGTTAGTGTGCAGCAGTATTCCAACCTAGGTAGAACAAGTGACCTGAAGAGCGTCATCATGGGCTTGGCTTCCCTAGTTTTGAAGGTTCTCGTTATCCATCCTGTCATTTTTCTAGGAGGTGCGATTGATACAATGTTATGGTCTTTGAAGGTGAGATCTTCTGACATGATCACTCTCAGGTCTTTTAAAGTTGTTTTTTGCTCTATTGTGTGGTTGGAATTTGTTTTATACTCTGATGCAGTTTTAATTTCTTCACATTTTCCATATCGGAGTAATTGAAATTTCTTATCGTTGAATTTCATATTGTTTTCTTCGGCCCATTTAAAGATTTGGTTGATGTCTGCCTGGAGTCTTGCGGTGTCTTCAGTGGAGGACACTGTCATGCAAATTTGGGATGTCATATCCCTGTCTGTCAGATATGAGTATGAGGAACAAGGTGGGAGCGAGTACTGTGCTTTGTGAAACAGAACTTTTCGCTGTAGCCATCTCAAACTTTGCTGTTTACTACTACTATATGTGTTCTATTTGTTAGGAAATTACATGTATAGATCCATCTACCAAGTTTTCCTGTTATTCCTTTATCATGCATTTTGTGTGCTATTACACCATGGTCACTCTTGTCAAAGGCTTTTGCAAAGTCTTTGTATATTGCATCTGCATTTTGTTTGTGTTCTAAAGCATCCAGGACCTTGTCATAACAGCTGTGTACTGTATTATTAATCGAAGGTAATTTTTTTTGTCATTGTATGTGATTTTTCCCCAGATGAAGCAACAGGAAGAATTGGTGATGCTGTTATCATGTCTAGTGGACCACAGAATATCACATGTTGTTCACTGAGGACTAATTTCAGTTGCTTCACCATGGAATTATTGAAGATTTAAAAACTTGAAAGGAGTATAAAACAAATTCAAACAACTCAGTACAGCAGTACTAAATATAATTCCAAAAAAAAAAAAAAAAAAGTTACAGGCTGAATCACCAGAACCTTTTAAATGAGAGGCAGAGAATATGTATACTTTTTAAGCCTTTTATTCTTTCTAGAGTGGTATATTGCTGTACAATAGTACCTCTTTTTAAAGGCAAATGAAATTGCAACTGTTGAGAATGAACAGAACTTTCTCTGCCTTTATAAATTCAGTAAAATGCCTAAATTATTGGGAACTGCCTAAAATCTCTTAAATTCTACCTCCTGGATCATAGGCAAGAGATACAGTAAATCATAATACTAAACCTGGAAATTACTCTCTACGAGAGCAAGAGGCTCAGAGGAAATTACACGTGAGAAGCAGGGGTGCATTGACTACACTAAGAGTCAATAAGTTTTGAGGAACCAAGACTTTTTAACACATTCCCATCATACATAATGGGAATTACTGACACGTTTGTTCCTGACCAGTTTGATTATGGTCATTATATTTGCATGTGGCCAGCACCAGCAGCCTAGTTCTTTAGGCTATCAACCAGGAGGCCTGGTCTGGGGCTGGGACATAGGGCAGTGGCCCCTGGAATTTAATGCAGGTAACTGCACGATTTTCTTCAGACTCAAGCTATCCATAAGATGGCAGTTTTTGCAGTGTGAAAATAAGGATTTTGAGAAGAAGCTTCTATGCTTTAAATTTTTATTAGGCTACTGGTAAAAACACATTTGTAATTACTGCAATATCTTATCAAAGCATTTCTTATCCTCATGATGTTATGATTGGGCTGGGCCATTGTATTTACAGGTGTTTCTGCTAAACATAAATTTTTACCTTTTATATAAATTGAGATTAGAAAAACCAGTTACCTGAAATAAGCAAGCTATGTAGAAGTTTGCCATTCACACATTTACATTTGACAATTTTTAGTATAATAATGTTTGGTCATTACAGGTATTCTTGTCAAGAATTATTTGGTTTTGATGTGATAATTGATGAACGTCTTAGACCATGGCTCTTGGAAGTCAATATCTCTCCTTCATTACATTCAGCTTCACCATTGGACCATTCTGTGAAAGGCCCACTTATTGCCAACCTCCTCAATATGGTGGCCTTCCATATCCCTGACAAACTAAGTCAACAGCAGCAGGTACATTATGTATAGGGTTTACTGAGACCATCCAGTTGACATTTAGAAATCTTATATTGTATAAAAATCATATATTGCATATTCTAATGCATTATATAATAATATACATTTCAAATAAAAACCTATCTAATTAATTGCTTTTAGATGAATCTGTTGGGAGACTTCAACTTTGATGAAAGAGTGTCTGGGCTGTGTTTAGATCGACGGTTATACACTCGACTCTTGACTCCAGAGGAACAGGTCAGTTAGTAAAAATGCATAAAAATGTTACATGAGCTTTTGTTTTGAAGAGAAGATAAGGAGCATAGTAAATATATTTTGTATGTTTGCATGAAAAAATGGGTTATATTGAGAAAGGAAATTTTAGTGGATAGGAATGATTAACTGTCCAAACATAGATCTACGTTCACTTTCGAAGCACTCTGAACGTAGATCTACATTTTATTTTACATGCTTTCAAATGTAAAAAGAATCATAGATCTACGTTTGGAGCGCTATGCAAGTGAACATAGATCTACATTTGGACAGTTTAAGGGTTAATAAGCAAGTGAAGAGTTGCATAATTTACTACTATTAACCCTTTGACTGTTTCCGACGTATAAATACGTCTTACGAGCCAATGTTTCTGACGTATTTATACGCATAAATTCTAGCAGCTTCAAATCAAGCAGGAGAAAGCTGCTAGGCCCACATGTGAGAGAATGGGTCTCCATGGTCAGTGTGCACCATATAAAAAAATCGGGGAGCCAGTGGTGCATTGTGGGAATGCCATTTCAGTTGTCATTTTTCAGCATGTCTAGTGGTAAGAAATATGTGATTCCCCAGCAAATCTGGGACTCTTCTCTTCCCAAGTGATGCTCTAACACAGATGGAAGTGTCAGTGAAGATCAATTTCATGATTTGGAGGAGTTTGAGACCAAAAGCAATGGAGGAGGAGGAGGGGGAGGAGGGGAGGAAGAGGAGGAGGAGGAGGAGGAGGGAAGGAAGAGGAGGAGGAGGAGGAGGAGGAGGAGAAGAGGAGGAGGAGGAGGAAGAAGAAGATGTAATAATATTGTTCCCTTGAAGCAAGAAAAAAAAAAGTCCACCCATGACAGTGACAAGAAAAGGGGGAGATAACATCTGATAAGAGCTGACTTTGATGAGCGTAAAGGAGGGTAATATTACATGACCATGGCCTCCCTTTGTTTTTGCTGGTACACAAACATTTCTGTCTGTCTATTTGTCTGTCTGTCAAGCTCCCTGTCTGTCCATCTAGCTCTCTGTCTCAGAGAGAGCCACAAGACTGTGTCATCACGTTTACTCACATCTTCAAGCAGAGTATAGCACTTTGTCTGGATTTCTTGGGTTATCCTAGGTAATTTACACTATGTATACTTGTATTTATGTGTACCTGTGAGACAGAGATAGGCAGACAGAAAGAGAGACAGATTGAAAGATATAGAATGAGGGAGAAAGATAATTAGATAGAATGGAGGAGGGGAAGCAGCATCCGACCCCATTGTTTTGACAGGGGTAGGGGTAGTGACTAATGAGATAATATGTCACTTTGACAGCTGCCGACTTCTGACTCAAAACAATTATAAGCCACACACTCGCACACAAGGAGGAGGAGGAGAAGGAGGAGGAGAAGAAGGAGAAGAAGGAGGAGAAGAAGAAGGAGAAGAAGGAGGAGAAGAAGGAGGAGAAGAAGGAGGAGAAGGAGGAGGAGAAGGAGGAGGAGAAGGAGGAGGAGAAGGAGGAGAAGAAGAAGAAGGAGAAGAAGGAGAAGAAGAAGAAGGAGAAGAAGAAGAAGGAGAAGAAGAAGAAGGAGAAGAAGAAGGAGAAGAAGAAGGAGAAGAAGAAGAAGGAGAAGAAGGAGAAGAAGGAGAAGAAGGAGAAGAAGGAGAAGAAGGAGAAGAAGGAGAAGGAGGAGAAGAAGAAGGAGAAGAAGAAGGAGAAGAAGAAGGAGAAGAAGAAGGAGAAGAAGAAGGAGAAGAAGAAGGAGAAGAAGAAGGAGAAGAAGAAGGAGAAGAAGAAGGAGAAGAAGAAGGAGAAGAAGAAGGAGAAGAAGAAGGAGAAGAAGAAGGAGAAGAAGGAGAAGAAGAAGGAGAAGAAGAAGGAGAAGAAGAAGGAGAAGAAGAAGGAGAAGAAGAAGGAGAAGAAGAAGGAGAAGAAGAAGGAGAAGAAGAAGGAGAAGAAGAAGAGAAGAAGGAGAAGAAGAAGGAGAAGAAGAAGGAGAAGAAGAAGGAGAAGAAGAAGGAGAAGAAGAAGGAGAAGAAGAAGGAGAAGAAGAAGAAGAAGAAGAAGAAGAATTGTTTGTTTGTTTGTTTGTTTGTTTGTTTGTTTGTTTGTGTAAACAAGTTTTGTAAACAATATATTAATAATTATGTTTGTGTGCTTATTGTGTTGTATACAACGAGTGTATATATATACATTGCACCTTACTTTGGTCTCATAGGCCACATAAGTTATGTGAAAAAATAAAATAGTGAAAAAAACAACAAACCTTCAAATACAAGTAAACTAAAGTTTACCGGGTGAGCGGCAGTCGCCGCTGTTGCCATACGCGGCTCATTTTCTGCAAACTTCACGGCTCTATATCTCGGTAAGTACCAATGGCAAAATTTTTTTTTTTGGACTAAAACACTCAGAAAAATAATCTTAACATTTTCATAAGAAAAAATAATTTTTTTTTTTTTGAATATTTGGCGACATAGAATGACAGTTTCAGAGAGGGGCCTGAAACAGTCAAAGGGTTAAGTTGTACATTGATCCTAGTGAAGGGCATTTTATTTAAGGAATTGGAGCTACTCTCCCCTTCCTTGGATCAAACCTAATTCCTTCCTTTTCTCCAGGTTCCATATGATCCCATGTGGATTTAGCACTTACCATTGAATGTAATACAGTAAATCCAAAATATAATGGACTTCTGAATAACAAACAAAATCCAAGTACTCTCCTTGGGAGGCTGTACACTGATTCCAGTGCCTCTACCACTTAATTCATTTCTGGAACTCATCTTTCCTAACAGCATCTAACATGGCTTGCAATTCTGCCTGAATTGCCTTTTTTTTTTGGGGGGGGGGGGAAGTCATGGAGGGCTAGATCTGTGGAGTAGGGTGGGGGAGGGCCAACTGCCATATTGGTTTTGTCCAGTAAATGCTGGACAGACAGTGTTGTGTGAGCAGGGGTTGTTGGACACCTACAACACCAGATGTTTCCTTCTCACATCTTCCCTCAAATGTCTCAGAACCTCAATGTAAAAAATTTTTATTGACTGCCCTCCTGGAATAAATTCCTCATGAATGATTCTCTGTCAAAATAAAAAAAAAAATGAGCATTCTTTTGGCTTGGCATGGATTTGTGTGTGTGTGTGTGTGTGTGTGTGTTTGTTTTAAAGGACCTTACAAACATCCAAGCAATGGTCTTTTTTGATCTTGAGCCAGCAAACAGGGCACAAATTTCACAGCCACTCACCTCGTTCAAATTTTCAATCGAAATTCTTTGATATGACCTATAAGAAATTTCCACAGCATTTGCAGTGTCCTTGTAAATAACCTTCCTTGCTTTTTGAATGTTGGCATCTGTTTTTGATGTTAATGGATGACCAGAGTGTTCATCATCCTCACCTGCCATTTGTTCAGTTTTGTTCAAAACATTGTGTCTGACCCATTGCTTCGTTGCCAGATATTTGAAGTAGTATTTTGCGAATTCCACTAGCTTCTTTACAGAACTGGTAGCAAAATTTCACACACACACTATTTTTCCAAAGATTCCATTCTGTTGCACAAAAAAATCACAATAACTCACTGACAATGCGAGAAAAAATACCTGTCTAACCTCAGTGGAATGACTGACCACTCTGAAACTCGCCATGTTATTTCACAAGAGTGTACTGCGAAGGATGATCTATGCTCCTGCAATATTTCATCCAGGAAGTGCACAAAAATTTGAGTGGGAACTTTTTAATGGCACCTTGTATCTGTAAATTGCATGTACACCATTGTGTTAGGTATATAATAGAGTACGTACTTTAGTGCTTTGTCTGCAATTTTTTTTTTTAAACATTTCGATTTAATGGAAACACTTGAAGTGAGTGATAATGAAAATGTTTCTTCTTTATTGGGTTACCCTACCTCAGTGGAAGTTGGCCAATGTGTTAAGAGAAAAACAAAATTGGAGAATCGTCTCCCTCCCTCTTATTGTCCATTATATTGAGGGTTTACCTTTAACAAGTCACTGTTTGTGTGTTAATACAAGAATTAAGAATGAGGAGGCTTCTATAGTGGATGAAAGATACCTTTCTGGAATTCTTTCTTCGTAATATCTATTATGAGACTGTAGAAGCATATAATTAAAGCGAATAACTTTTAATAGTTAAAATTTGTAGTATACACTGTATTGATGAAGAATGCTAATGCAACTTAAACTAATTACTTAAAGATTACAGGCTACTCTTAATTCCTTGATTTTCCTTAGTTCATAAAATAACTATCTGAAGATAGATTGGTGTTAATTTCTAGGTTTTCCGTAGTTCTTTTAGTCATTATGGTTTTTACAGGTTTCATGATGTTTTGCTATTTAGAGATTCAATATATGTGCTTCAGGTGATGAAAGTATATTTAACATTTGTGTATATGCAGCTGGGATTTGTTTTTATTTCTAGACATTAGTTCTTTCAATAAATATAGGACTGTCATCCAGTGTAAATAAACCATTATTATGGTAAATGGTGGACTTTGTTTTTTTTTTTTTTTTTGCATACAGTTGAAACATGTACAAGTGAATGCCATGCCACGTAGCCAGTACTTAGACTTCGCTATAGAAACTCTAACATCTGATGATGTACGGCATCTTCTGACAGCAGAGGATGAACTACAAAGGGCTGGAAAGTGAGTAAATCTTATGATTTTCTTTGTAATTACAGGGAGTAGATACTTCCTGTGGCATCCCATTTTATTTATTTACTGCAATACTGTACTTATAAATCATTGTGTATGAAACAGAAACATAAGAACATAAGAAAGGAGGAACATTGCAGCAGGCCTGTTGGCCCATACTAGGCAGGTCCTTTACAATTCATCCCACTAACAAACATTTGACCAACCCAATTTTCAATGCTACCCAAGAAATAAGCTCTGATGTGCAAGTCCCACTCAAATCCAACCCCTCCCACCCATGTACTTATCCAACCTAAACTTGAAACCACCCAAAGTCCTAGCCTCAATAACCCAACTAGGCAGACTGTTCCACTCATCAACTACCCTATTTCCAAACCAGTACTTTCCTATGTCCTTTCAAAAATTCGTTTATGTTAATCTCCAGGGTTTGTTACCTGGACCTCAGCAATGAGAGTGGCTACTCTTACCGCTGGGCAATGGCGACCAGTGCATTTTAATTTAATTTAAAAATTTCTAATCTCCAAGCTACGGATTCTCTGCATCATATTCACACCAGACATTACCCTCAGATACGACATGTCCACTGTCTCCCTTTTCATCTCATCCCCTGCATGCATCAGCCTTACTAGAGATTTGAACAATGCAAGGAATTCGCGAGAGCATGCGAAATATACACAAACACTGATCTCTGGCTGAAGGAAACTCGAACCTACGAACCTTAGGACAAAGTACGCAGTGCTTTACCAATCTACCCACACTGGAAAAATTTTTCAATCTGTTAGGATTACTGATCTTTTCTTTGTCTCATTCAGTATATACATACCTCTTAATAGTTCTTAATATCTCTTAATCATGTAAAAGTTCCTTTCCAAATTAGGAGGCATGGACTGAGATTGGGCTGCAGGGAAGATAATTTTTAGAACTAGAAACCGATAACGTGCTCAGCCTACATGCATGTGAGAGTAACTGAGAGACGGGGTAGTGGGAGCAGAGCATTCAGTTTACAATAATTGTAAACTCTAAGTTTGCTGGAAAGTGTGTGCTTGTGCCAGACTGGATGTGTGATGTACAGGCTGTTACATTTACCTTGCTACCCTCCCTCTTTTTAGCAATATATATATGTACTGTGAGTGAGTGGAAATGAATAGTTTTGGGGATTTGACAAGCTGTTGGAGTGTGAACAGCATATTTTGTGAAGGGATTCAGGGAAACCAGTTAGCTGGACTTGAGTCCTGGAGGTGGGAAGTACAGTACCTGCACTTTAAAGGAGGTGGTTTGGGATATTTACTGTTTGGAGTAACATCTGAACAATCATATCTGCATGCCTCTGCAAGAACAGTGATTGTGTGTGAGTGATGGTGAAAGTGTTTCTTTTTTGGGTCACCCTTCCTTGGTGGAAGACGGCCTACATGTTGAAAAAAAATTTGTATTGTACAGTGGTACCTTGATTTACGAGTGCCCCAACTTGCGAGTTTTCCAAGTTATGAGCCGTTGCTTGGTTGATTTTTTGCTTTGAGTTGCAAGCCAAAATCCGAGTTACGAGCGAAGCTCCAGATACTCTGCCACTAATTGGAGGCATATCTGAAGTCAAATCCAACTCCGTACCCAGAGGAATATCAGGTACTTTGTCCCATCCCACCTTCCAAGACATAAGTGGAAGGATAATACTCCAACACTAATCCCAGATTGTAGTGAGGCACCTTGTCCCTTGTTTGGTTCTCGTATAATCCGGGGAAGAGGTAACCTCCATGTCATCACTCAGTTTGTCCAGAAACATTAAATAAGGTGGGTGGAGTACTGATAGTGATGGATGAAGTAGTGATAATGGTGGGTGGAGTAGATATGATGGTGGGTGTAGTAGAGATGGTGGTGGGTGGAGTAGTGAGGGTGGTGGGTGGAGTATACAATATTTCTTATTTATAAATACATTTTTCATATTTAAAAACAGATAACAAAGAAAAATTGGGGTGGTTTTTTGGGGGCTGGAGCAGATTAATGGCATTTCTATTAATTTCAGTGAGGAAAATTGATTTGATATACGAGCAAACTGAGTTACGAGCTTGGTCACAGAATGAATTAAACTCGTATGTCAAGGTACCACTGTACTTGACTGTGCTGTTAACCCCTTGAGGGCCCAGTCTCTCAATCTGAAAATTCCCTACAGGGTCCAAGAATTTAAAAAAAAAAATCTTATTTTTTCTTATGAAATGGTAGAGAATCTTTTTCTGTAGATAATAAGACAAAAAGTATGAAATTTTGATTAAAAAAAATTGACGAAATTACGCTCTCGTAAATTTTGCTGTCAGTGATATTTATCCATTGGCGATTTTGCCCAATTTGAATCCTATTTTTCGGCCAATTGCATTGTTCCGTTAGACCAAATTTGTAGCAATTTCGCTAATGTGTGTTCCATTTTATATACTGAGCACAAGAAATCACCCAATCAACTATTTCAGCTACCCAATAATGTGATCAGAAATTGGTAATTTGGCCAATTTCACAAAGTTCAAAATATTTCAGTTTAAAAATAGGGTCCAGAATAAACAATGCAGGCATTCCTGGCACTAAAATAACATTTTCTCTGTTTATTAGTTACGTTTCCAGGCTTTACAGATAAATTCCATTTTGATTTTTTATTCACATAAAGAATTTTTATTTACACCAAAAAATATTTACTGTTATGCAATACAGTGGACCCCCGCATAACAATCACCTCCGAATGCGACCAATTATGTAAGTGTATTTATGTAAGTGTGTTTGTACGTGTATGTTTGGGGGTCTGAAATGGACTAATCTACTTCACAATATTCCTCATGGGAACAAATTCGGTCAGCACTGGCACCTGAACATACTTCTGGAGTGAAAAAATATCGTTAACCGGGGGTCCACTGTATTGTAATAATTGTATAAATTATATAAGTACATGCAGTAATAAGTGTATAAATGATATCAGCTCATTCACGAATGCACATTAGACCCAACAGCTGATGTGTATTGGATGCGTGATGATTTGTTGATTCTTGAATATCAGCAGAAATCGAAGATTTCCACTGATTTGAGCTCAAGTTCAAGCTATTTTCAGTACTAAAACCAATCAAAATCACATCTACTTCTATCAAATGAGACCAAGAAACCGTGAATACAACAGTCAAAACCATACAAAAATACACCGCAAAGTCAGTGTTTTAATCCAAAAACATGGTCGCAGTTTTTTCTCATTGTGCACTGCGTGCTGCGGGATTTGTTTTATATGGTGCATACTTACCACATAGATGCATTCTCTCACATCTAGGCCCAAATTTACCACTCACAGCTTATCTGAGTGGGCTGAGCTCTTGATGTAGTACTATGACGCAGACCCTGGCTTCACAGCCATAGAACTACAGCATGAACCTGCAAGTGGTTAAGCCATATTCTTAAACTGTTTATTAACTTAAGAAGTAGTTTGCGGTATATACAGACTTTGTGAGGGTTACATTTCTCTAGGCCCCATAGATCTTGAATTTGCAAATAAAACAAAATTGTGTTGTATTGTTGAAGTTTTTATGAAAAAATTTTGGCTATCAAGCATGTTAACTTGTTCACACATTCTCACTCATTCTACAGTTGCTGAATTACATATCATGTTTACTTTAGAGAATTAATGCTGGATGCTTGCATGACTGTGGCATAAACTATACACAGTAGTATTTGCACAGGAGGGCTACCTGGTTCCTCCTTCATTGTAAATATAGTGATTTTTGGTGCTCACTGTCTGAGGACGGCGAGTACTTTATAGTTTAATTACTCTACGGATTTGAACCCAGTTAAATTTTACTTCGTTTTAATATTGTCATTCATAAGAAGGAATATATTGAAAGAGAAGAGATTTTAGTATTGGGAAACATTTAGCATATTTTTAACAGAATCCTGTAGTTAAGTTTCAATTTAGAGGTTGTATGCCATCTCCCACGAAGGTAGTGTGAGCCAAAAAAAGGAAACTTTCACCATCATTCATATAATAGCTGCCTTGCCAGAAGAGCACAGATCACAATTAGGGATGGGACGATACCAAAAATTTTACTGATACTAAATTTTAAGTTGATACTCCAGTCACCATCTGATACCTATTCTTATAAGAATTAGTCGATACTCGCCAATACTGATACTTAATTTTGGGTTGGTATAGGATGTCAGAAGTAGCCATTACCCACCGATACTGATACTTTGCCACATCCCTAATCACAATTCAAATAACTCTCCAAACTGCAAGCATCTCCACCCTTCAGAGTGCAGGCACTGTATTTTCCACCTCCAGGACTCAAGTCTGGTTAACTGGTTCCCCTGAATCCCTTCATAAATATTATCTTGCTCACTCCAACAACACTTCAAACCATAAAAATTATTTCCTCCTCTCCAATCTAACACTCCTGCTGGATGCTCAAGCACTTGAAACCTCCTTTACTTCCTCTTTCCAACTCTTTCTAGGACAACCTTGAGAAAACCTTGTGAAAATAAAAGCCATTTGCGAGATGTTCTTAAGTAATTATGATGTACAGCCCCTCCTCACTTAGTGACGTACTCGTTTACTGACCACTCGGACTTACGACCAACTCTCCAACCAGTATGCAAACCTAAATAATATTAGAGCTGATTTCCTCTATTCTGTTTATTACAGTTATACAGTACACTGCTGTATAAACATTTAAAAATATACCAGAAATGTTATAAATGGTGCAAAAGTGACATTAAAAAAAATCTGAAGATGGCTAACACAAACCCACTACCAGTATAGTATGCTCCTTGCTTAACGACTAGTTTGTTTACTGACCTACTCTTAGGAATGGAACCCCGTCATTGAGTGAGGAGAGGGTGTACTTGTATTGTTGAATCCCATGAATTATGAAGCTTGCGAATTTTGGGAAATGACCTCATTCTGATAACTTATCACAATTTAATTGGTTATTCCTTTCTAACGTGAATATTTATAAACCACTTTGCACACAGTTTGGTTATGCTATTCAATATAATTAAGATTCTAGTAAATTGTTGCCCTGTCTAGACAAAGCATCATGCATATGACTTTTTATCATCAAAGCTGCAGTGTTAATTTGTTCAGCATCTTGAGAGAAGATACAATGAGAACATGTTAGAAATGTCAACAAATTAACCTTTCCATTTGCACATTTTAAATTAGAGCTTATTGACAGAACTTTGTAATACCCTGAAGGCCTGGTCATGGACTGGGCCATTGGGGGTGCTGATCCCCAGAATACCCTCCAGGTAGATACATAGTGTACAATATTTAAGATTTAATTTGTAGTACTTCAGATATCCCATACAATAATATTCCATATTTAAGAATATTTTTTTTAGCTGATCAACAGTCTGCCCACCAAGGCAGGGGTGACCCAAGGAAGGAAATGTTCACCATTATTCAGTCATCTTGCCAGAAGTGCGCTAACATCACAATGCAGCTTACCCTTTGACTGCAACATGCAGCATCTCCACTTTTCTTGTATCTTGCCATAAATTGAGGGGCACATTTCAGGGTGGATCAACCAGGCTCTGATGGATATGTAGGACAGTGGGCTGCCAGCATCAACAGCCTGGTTGACCAGACAAATCTGGCTTAGGGCCAGACTGGGAGTAGAAAAATCTGGAAACTCATCAAGGATATATCAAAGATTATGGCCAGAAACTGTAATAACTTTTGACTGTCTTTGCCTACCTTTCTTACCATTACCAGGTTTGTGCCACCATACCACAAGAGTGGGAAGTGATTTATTAATAAGAATTTTCCTGTACTTTTCAGATTTACACGCATTTTTCCTACTGCTGAAACCCATCCCTATTTTGGGTTTCTCGAAAAGCCTCGTTATTACAACAGACTCATGGATGCCTGGGAGAATGCATATGCTACCTGTCGAGAGAAAGGTATTTTGATGTATAGACTGTGTGTATTTAGATATAATAATTGATGTGTTTTCTTAGAAAGATTTTATTATGTATTGTCTGTCATTGTATGAATTATATTTTATGAAAAGAATAAGCTAAAAATGGCAAGTGGTAGTGTTTTATTGAAAGTCCTTGTTTTCAGCTATTGAACGACTAGAGAGCCTATGTGCAGAAAAGTTTCATCTCCGAGTGCCTCCTACCTTCAAGATGCCAAAGGTATGATAGCAGTATTCTCATTTTTGCACCTTCATTTTATGATGCCTGTCCTCTTGAAAAGTGAGAAACCATTTGGACAAAAGTGAAACACTAGTAAAAGGACACTTTCAGCCAAGAAAACTTTTATTAATACAGTGTTTCACCCATTGATAGACCCCCATTGGGTGAAACTTTTTAAGAAAAGGTTGGCCTAGTCATTCATTTTCACAGGTTAAAAAAAGAAAAAAATGTTTCAGCCTCAGTCGGAGGCCCTTTTAAACCTTTTGTTTTATTTTTTTGTTATCTAAGTAGTTTGTCACTTTTCATTGATCAGTGCTTATGATTCTTTAATGGTAGTAGGTTGGTAGACAGCAACCACCCAGGGAGGTACTACCGTCCTGCCAAGTGAAAGTAAAACAAAAGCCTGTGATTGTTTTACATGATGGTAGGATTGCTGGTGTTTTTTGTCTGTCTCATAAATATGCAAGATTACAGGTATGTCTTGCTACTTCTACTTACACTCGGGTCACACTACACATACATGTACAAGCGTATATATACATACCCCTCTGGGTTTTCTTCGATTTTCTTTCTAGTTCTTGTTCTTGTTTATTTCCTCTTATCTCCACGGGGAAGTGGAACAGAATTCTTCCTCCGTAAGCCATGCGTGTTGTAAGAGGCGACTAAAATGCCGGGAGCAAGGGGCTAGTAACCCCTTCTCCTGTATATATTACTAAATTTGAAAGGAGAAACTTTGGTTTTTTCTTTTGGGCCACCCTGCCTCGGTGGGATACGGCCGGTGTGTTGAAAGTAAGAAAGTTTATTTATACACACTCATCTGAGTTTTCTTTGATTTTATCTTAATAGTTCTTGGTCTTATTACTTTTCCTTTTATATCCATGGGAAAGTGGAATAAGAATCTTTCCTCCATAAGCCATGCGTGTTGTAAAAGTCGACTAAAATGCCGGAACAATGGGCTAGTAACCCCTTTTCCTGTAAAGATTACTAAAAAGAATAAGAAGAAGAAAATTGTCAAAGTGGGAAGTCTGAATGTGCATGGATGTTGTGCAAATGATAAGAAAGAGATGATTGTGGATGTTATGAATGAGAAGAAGCTGGATGTCCTGGCTTTAAGTGAACAAAGCTGAAGGGGGTGGGAGAGTTTCAGTGGAGAGGAATAAATGGGATTAGGTCAGGGGTTTCAAATAGAGTTAGAGCTAAAGGAGTAGCAATAATGTTGAAGGATAAGATATGGCAGGAAAAGAGGGACTATAAATGTATTAATTCAAGGATTATGTGGAGTAAAATAAAGGTTGGATGTGAAAAGTGGGTTATAGTAAGTGTATATGCACCTGGAGAAGAGAGAAGTGTAGAGGAGAGAGAGAGATTTTGGGAAATGTTGAGTGAATGCATGGGGAGTTTTGAACCAAGTGTGAGAGTACTTGTGGTTGGGGATTTCAGTGCTAAAGTGGGTAAAAATGTTGTGGAGGGAGTAGTAGGTAAATTTGGGGTGCCAGGGGTAAATGTAAATGGGAGCCTTTAATTGAGCTATGTGTAGAAAGAGATTTGGTAATAAGTAATACATATTTTATGAAAAAGAGGATAAATAAATATACAAGGTATGATGTAGCACGTAATGAAAGTAGTTTGTTAGATTATGTATTGGTGGATAAAAGGTTAATGGGTAGGCTCCAGGATGTACATGTTTATAGAGGGGCAACTGATATATCGGATCATTATTTAGTTGTAGCTACAGTTAGAGTAAGAGGTAGATGGGACAAGAGGAAGGTGGCAACAACAAGTAGGAGGGAAGTGAAAGTGTATAAACTAAGGGAGGAGGAAGTTCGGGTGAGATATAAGCGACTATTGGCAGAAAGGTGGGCTAGTGCAAAGATGAGTAGTGGGGGGGTTGAAGAGGATTGGATGAGTTTTAAAAATGCAGTATTAGAATATGGGGCAGAAGTTTGTGGTTATAGGAGGGTGGGGGCAGGAGGAAAGAGGAGTGATTGGTGGAATGATGAAGTAAAGGGTGTGATAAAAGAGAAAAAGTTAGCTTATGAGAGGTTTTTACAAAGCAGAAGTGTTATAAGAAGAGCAGAGTATATGGAGAGTAAAAGAAAGGTGAAGAGAGTGGTGAGAGAGTGCAAAAGGAGAGCAGATGATAGTGGGAGAGGCACTGTCAAGAAATTTTAATGAAAATAAGAAAAAATTTTGGAGTGAGTTAAACAAGTTAAGAAAGCCTAGGGAACGTATGGATTTGTCAGTTAAAAACAGAGTAGGGGAGTTAGTAGATGGGGAGAGGGAGGTAATAGGTAGATGGCGAGAATATTTTGAGGAACTTTTAAATGTTGAGGAAGAAAGGGAGGCGGTAATTTCATGCACTGGCCAGGGAGGTATACCATCTTTTAGGACTGAAGAAGAGCAGAGTGTAAGTATGGGGGAGGTATGTGAGGCATTACGTAGAATGAAAGGGGGTAAAGCAGCTGGAACTGATGGGATCATGAGAGAAATGTTAAAAGCAGGGGAGGATATAGTGTTGGAGTGGTTGGTACTTTTGTTTAATAAATGTATGAAAGAGGGGAAGGTACCTAGGGATTGGCGGAGAGCATGTATAGTCCCTTTATATAAAGGGAAGGGGGACAAAAGAGATTGTAAAAATTATAGAGGAATAAGTTTACTGAGTATACCAGGAAAAGTGTACTGTAGGGTTATTATTGAAAGAATTAGAGGTAAGACAGAATGTAGGATTGCGGATGAGCAAGGAGGTTTCAGAGTGGGTAGGGGATGTGTAGATCAAGTGTTTACATTGAAGCATATATGTGAACAGTATTTAGATAAAGGTAGGGAAGTTTTTATTGCATTTATGGATTTAGAAAAGGCATATGATAGTGGATAGGGGAGCAATGTGGCAGATGTTGCAAGTATATGGAATAGGTGGTAAGTTACTAAATGCTGTAAAGAGTTTTTATGAGGATAGTGAGGCTCAGGTTAGGGTGTGTAGAAGAGAGGGAGACTACTTCCTGGTAAAAGTAGGTCTTAGACAGGGATGTGTAATGTCACCATGGTTGTTTAATATATTTATAGATGGGGTTGTAAAAGAAGTAAATGCTAGGGTGTTCGGGAGAGGGGTGGAATTAAATTATGGGGAATCAAATACAAAATGGGAATTGACACAGTTACTTTTTGCTGATGATACTGTGCTTATGGGAGATTCTAAAGAAAAATTGCAAAGTTTAGTGGATGAGTTTGGGAGTGTGTGTAAAGGTAGAAAGTTGAAAGTGAACATAGAAAAGAGTAAAGTGATGAGGGTATCAAATGATCTAGATAAAGAAAAATTGGATATCAAATTGGGGAGGAGGAGTATGGAAGAAGTGAATGTTTTCAGATACTTGGGAGTTGACGTGTTGGCGGATGGATTTATGAAGGATGAGGTTAATCATAGAATTGATGAGGAAAAAAGGTGAGTGGTGCGTTGAGGTATATGTGCAGTCAAAAAACGTTATCTATGGAGGCAAAGAAGGGAATGTATGAAAGTATAGTAGTACCAACACTCTTATATGGGTGTGAAGCTTGGGTTGTGAATGAAGCAGCGAGGAGGCGGTTGGAGGCAGTGGAGATGTTCTGTCTAAGGGCAATGTGTGGTGTAAATATGCAGAAAATTCGGAGTGTGGAAATTAGGAGAAGGTGTGGAGTTAATAAAAGTATTAGTCAGATGGCTGAAGAGGGGTTGTTGAGGTGGTTTGGTCATTTAGAGAAAATGGATCAAAGTAGAATGACATGGAAAGCATATAAATCTATAGGGGAAGGAAGGCGGGGTAGGGGTAGTCCTCGAAAAGGTTGGAAGGAAGGGGTAAGGGAGGTTTTGTGGGCGAGGGGCTTGGACTTCCAGCAGGCGTGCATGAGCGTGTTCGATAGGAGTGAATGGAGACGAATGGTATTTGGGACTTGACGATCTGTTGGAGTGTGAGCAGGGTAATATTTAGTGAAGGGATTCAGGGAAACAGGTTATTTTTATATAGCCGGACTTGAGTCCTGGAAATGGGAAGTACAATGCCTGCACTCTGAAGGAGGGGTTTTGGGATATTAGCAGTTTGGAGGGATATGTTGTGTATCTTTATACATATATGCTTCTAAACTGTTGTGTTCTGAGCACCTCTGCAAAAACAGTGATTATGTGTGAGTGAGGTGAAAGTGTTGAATGATGATGAAAGTATTTTCTTTTTGGGGATTTTCTTTCTTTTTGGGTCACCCTGCCTCGGTGGGAGACGGCCTACTTGTTGAAAAAAAAAAAATTCCTTATGTTTGTTGCAGCTTCTCACTCAGAATTTGCTTCAGGTATAATACTTAGTTACCATTGCTTGGTGGCTATATACTAAGTTTAGAAAATACTGTGTATCTGTTATACAAATTTTTTTCTATTTTAAATCTTAAATGTAGAATGATCTTTGCCATTTGAAAATTTCCAAGTAAATGCAGAGATTCTTAATTTAAATTTTCACCTGGTTTCTCCAATTAATATATAGCAGATGATTGTGTGTCATCTAAACACTGCCACCTACCCAAATAATGTGTGTCCTTTTAACAGTATGAAATAGCTTGCCATGAAATTTGTGTTATTTGCAGTATAGTATGTCATTTGCTGCTTGGTTGCGTAAGAGAAGTCAGTGAGCTACTACCAAAACCATGTGTGCAGGCTTCTTTCCTCCTCCTACCCAAATATGCATTGCTCATACAATAGGCAAGAGCTTAACATTGATTCTCATTGAATGGTACAGGGATTGAACCCAGGGCAAGCCAGCTCTAAAATTATCGGGCCAGTTGATTAGCCTGTTGGTTTTAGGACTGGCTTACCATTCGTTAAACCCCACTCCATTCATCGAGTTGTTTACAATTGTGTCATTATGATTTCACGAATCACTTAACACAGTAGAAACCCAATTAATATGTTTATGTGAAATGGCATTGTATGGCAGATCATCCAAGTTGTGATTAATACATGGGCTGGTGGGATGCCTGCAGCAACAGCCTGGTTGGCCAGGCAAGCACCAGGGAAGCCTGGCCCAGGGATGGACTGCAAGAGTAGGAAAACTCTTCAAAATTCATCAAGGGTAGATTAAAGGTATGGGGAGTAAAAGTCACCTTGAAAAAAGCTGAACAGGTTTTTTAAATTTTGTAATTTGTCTAAGATAATTTTTCATTGTCTTTGCCTCTTAATATGGAAATGTGTGGGGAGGGTTGATGTGGCCCTGTACAAATGGAGATTAGCAGTTATCACCACCACCACCTGCCAACATCGGTAAAAGTAAGGTACATTTCCTTACCAGATTGTTTCACTGGTGGTTATTTGTTGATGTGCAAGTGTGTGGAGAGGGGTTGATGTGGCCTTTACAATATCTGTACCGACATTGACAGGAAGTTTTAGCTACCACCACCACCAATCACTCGCTGTCAGCATTGGTCAAACTAAGACACATTTCCATACCAAATTGTACCAAACATATAGGAACTCAGGCACCTGTAGATATACCATACAAATGTATTGAAGATGAATTCATTTCAGGAAGAACCAAAGAATGGTGCAGGAGGAGGAGGAGGAACTGGAAATTTAGAGGGGTCCCTTCAACTTAGACTGTATCGAGCCATGCTTCCTGGGAGTTGAAGAAAATTGTAATTATCCAAATCTAGGCAGGAATTGGGAAGGAAACAATGTTTCTTCTGGAAACAGGAATAATTGTTCCTAATTAGGTCAGGTGAATTACTTACCTAAACTGGCAGAACCAGATGCTTATACACACCTTCCCTGAGTCAGCAGCTGACTTTTCTCAAGCTGTAGAAATGTCCAAACAAATGTTTTCATGCTGTGCCATTGTCAGTCATCCCTTTGCTACACAACTTATCTAATAACTTTCTCATTCTATTATCAGTCACCAACATTCAACAATTGTAAAAACTGTAGCTCGAGTAGGTACATAACCGTTAAAAAGCACAGGAAAGTGTAATTATGGGTTACTAACCATCCTGCAGTGCAGCACCACCTCACAGCTTATTTTGAAAAACTTTATGATGCATTCAACAGGTATTATTTCCTTGCACACTTTGAATTTAGATACAACATTTCATTGGTGCTTTGTTGAAAATGGACTCATTTGACTTATTGGGTTTCTACTGTGTTTCATAATAAGCTATATAAGGAAAGGGATCAGGTGGTCTGGTTTTGTAATGAATTGTGAATATTGGTGAATTTTATGACATTAAAAATGTAATGCACATCTTGTGCAAAGATGGAAAACAAGAGATTTGGGAAGGTTAGGGAAGACATAATGCAAGTGCTTGTATTTCAATGTATAAGTAAGCAAGGAGGGGTCTGTTACTTTCATAAATTTAGAAAAGCCATATAATAGGGTGAATAGTGGAGAAATAGAGGAGTGCATTAATATTTGTAAAAATGTTTTTCTGAGGAGAGTGAGATTCAAGATAGGTTGTGGAGAAGAGAAAAGGACTACCCAATTTGTAAATTGGGTAGTGTCCCCTTCTCCCAATTTATAACTAAGTAGAATATTTGGTGGAGGGAAGCTCAAAATTGGTGGTTTAGGGGTGATATGGTAAGTGGTGATTCCTGAGGGGTTTATCAGAGCCTATATACAGAATGTCTTAGCAAGCACTTGCATATATACAGTATATCAAGTATAGTGTAGAAATAAGCAGTTGTTACAGTACTGTGGTTGGAAGTCCATGAAAAGTATAAGATGAGAGAATAATGTGATCACACTGCACTTTCAGCAAAAATAGTGTAGTTTAGCTCTCATTTTCTTTGTGTGCCTTAGCAAGTACCAGCATGGAGACCAAATGTAAAATTACAATCCTGATTAGTAAAACTGCCATTGTCAATGGGAATTAATAAATTGGATAAAATTGTGATGTTTATGTGAAAATGTGTTTGAGCTGGGCTGTGATGGACATGTGGGCCTGGTTGACCAGGCAAGCATCAGACAAGCCTGACTCAGGAGTGAGAGTAAGAGTAAGAAAAAAGGTATAACACTACACCACTGGGGTTCATACTTCGGCTAAAAGATAAGCCACACGTTCCAGCACAGATCAAGCCACCTGTAATCAAGCCACCTGGAAAGAGAAAAGTTGCACATGATTACAAAATACTGGGAACCAAATTGGAAAAGGAATGCTTTTAGAACATGAGTACACATATATAGATGTTTCACCATTATTGTGGGGCACAGATAGGGCAAAATATAGACAGCCATTATTGATATGGAAGATCCTGTACATGGAAACACAAATGGAAGCTGAACAGGATATGCATTTTTACAATCCTTACAAAATGGATTTTAATATAAAACTGCCCTCACAACCCATTTATCCTGTTCTCCTTATGTAATGCAGAGTCAAACTTATCCCTTTACCCTGGTCTAATTTTTTAGACGAAAAATAGTACATGCCTGTGCAAATGTGTACATAGTTAAGTGATGTGATTGCTTGCAAAAATATTGTAAAGGGGTCAGTGTTTTGTCACTTGGTGCCTAGAATTAAAGTTTGATAGTAAGACAATGCCTTGACAAATTTAAAAGACAAAACCATGAACAAATTCTGACCCTGAGATGCACATTTTGTGGGCACAGTGAGACTCCCCAACACAACTGACCTTAAGGTTGTTGTGTTTCAGGTCACTGTCTCAGGCGGCTTCAAGGTCACCTCCAGGTAGGTCATGAAGGGGAACAGATGGTGTCACAGAGAGGTCAAAGGTCAGGTTGTGTGTCCTGGAAGCTGAATTGTACTTTGATCAGCATTAGCTAGGATGTGGATTGGTTTGCAGGCTGGATACTGTGAGTAAAATGCAGTAATGGAATACTTTGTGCATTCCCTTCTTCACTTCATGGCATATTATACACTTCAATGTAATTTATTTGTGTGTGTGGAAGGAAGTCATTAAATAAAATTTTAAATGGCAAAATAATTGCATTAATCTTACAAAAACGGTATTAAATTTTGTTTAAATTACCAGTTATAATTATTATAAATTTAATACTGTATATCTTAATCTGGATTATTATTATTTTTTTTTTTTTATATTTCATAATCGGTATTATCAATCTCGATTTTATTACAATTTTATTTCTGTACCTACAGTCTTGGTAATAGCAGTTACGTAATTGTAGTAAAAAGAGCCATGCTCATGGGTTTCCATGTATAATTTGTTATGAATGTGTAAATTATCCAGTAATTGTAGCCACATTACCTCACTTTGGAGCCCATTGCAACTATCAGCCAGTTTATTTGTGAAGAAAGTTTAAGACCTTTTTGTTCCACCATTTTAATAATTTGAAATTATGACCTTTGTTTTTCCTTGTTGCTGGTGTCGAGATCTTCCTCGTATATTTTCTTTTGCTGTATTATTTTATGGACTTAAAATTAAAGTTGGTTGTAAATCACAGAATGGGCGGGCTCGAATCCATGGCAGTTAGTCCTAAAACTTGCAGGCCAGTGTGTTAACCACTGGACCAACTGGCTTGAAAGAGGATTCATCCAACTAAGTATATTGCTGTACACCATGGGGAAGTTAGCATGGGCCTCACTGTGACCTTTCTGTGGTGTGTAGAAATATATCTAGTTGGATGAATCCTATTAGAGGCAGCTGGTCTAGGGTTAGCTCGCTGTCTTGTATATTTTTTGACTCCTGTCATAGGTTAGAGTCCTGTCCATTCCATGTTACTATGATTTCGTAATTTAATGTTGTCACTTTTTTCCTCTTGAGTTCCAATATAGGCATGTATAGTAATTTTAGTTTTTATTCTGAATTCTGGAATCTATGTTGGGTTTTATTTCATATATACCTGTTAATGGATCAGAACTAATCATTCCAGAGACTTCTTCTCAGACCAGCCCTACTAAATTGGAAAGGAAATAATAAAGGAATAAGAAACACACAAGAAAGCAAAAATAACTTTATTGTGATTATAAGATTCACCTGTCATTTTAGATGCTTTTGAGATGGTAAGAAAAGAGCAGCAATTCTGCCTGGGTACAAAACATTTAATAAGCTTTTATTTCACATTTGTATGACTGATCGCAACAGTGATCAGCCATACAAATGTACGTTCCTGGTTAGTTGCTGTCTACCAACTTACTTACAGTTTTCTTAAGGTTAATCTAACGTTTTTTAACACTAGCCATCTCCCATCAAGGCAGGTTGATCTGAAAAAGAAGAAACATTATAACTGCATATTAGCCCAAAATCTGCAGTGAACAGTTCTTTTTCTCAATCTCACTGGAAATTGTTAACCTGTTTTCCAATCCAGTGAATGAAAAGTCAGATAATAGATTGAACCATTACCCTGAGTGCAGAAGTGCATTCTTAATACAGAGTCCACCATGTCTGTTTAGGTCATGGGATAAATTTTTAAGGAAAGTAACTCTAAGCAAGCAAGTGCTGTACACTGTAGAGGCGCTTTATAGATTTAGCATAGATTTGACCTTATAATAACTAACCATGACAGAATAGTGAGCATCCTTATGTTGGCAAATAAGGGATCAAAATTAAGTAAATTTAATTAGCCATGTATGCTGTCATATAATGAACTTTGAATTTTAGCATAATTTTGTTTAAAAATATTATTCCTTTCTCATTAAGGAGAGCACACATGAGGTAGAAAGGTACGAAACTTGTCAGAAAGTTTACATGTTAAAGCTCCTTCTCCTTTTCCTGTTATTCTTTTTTTGAGTTTGTTGGTCTGCAAAAGTAAAAACAAAATTAACATATTGTATTGAAATTATTTTGTTGCAAGAATGAGATCAAATAATAATACCCAATTAATGTCAGAGCATAAGTAGCTTTCCATCTTCCCAGTCCCTTCCTCATCACTTGTTACCTACTGTGCATCTTCTTTTCTTTCAACGTACCAGCCGTATCCCACCGAGGTGGGGATAGCCCAAAAGGAAAAACGAAAGTAGCTACTGTGCTTATGAACACCAAAACAAACTGGACTTAAGTCCAGGCACTGCATGTGTACTGGTGTGTGGATAATAGTCAAATTTCTGTTGTGTCTTCCAGTTTGCCAGCAGTACATAATTTTCTTTTCTGTGTTAATATAGTTTTTCAGAGGACATTCTATTGAATGTAATAATGCTACATTCTTTTATATGTGGCCATCCCTAGATGTTTCATTTATTACCAAATCTTTTTTAAGAGATCTTATCAGTTGTTCACTTTCTCACATTTCGATTACAGAGCATTTTTCTTTCTTTGCACTGAATTTCATCCTCAATTTGTCATTCCATTTGCTTGTTTTAATTCTTGTAGGGTTCAAAAGTTTTTTATGTATATTTTCACTTTTATTCATTATCCGCACAGTGATCACTCAATTATCCACCAGAGAGGAAGGTTGGATAATTGAAAGTTCTGTTAAGCATACAGGAATAATGAGTAAATCTTTTATATGATTAGCTAGTTTGATGTAACTTACGATAAATGTTTTAATACCATACTTCAGATTATAATTGATTTCTACCAAAAATGTTATAAACCCACCATGTCTCAAAATGCTATTTAACCCTTTGACTGTTTTCGACGTATAAATACGTCTTACGAGCCAATGTTTCTGACGTATATATACTCAATAATTCTAGCGGCTTCAAATCAAGCGGGAGAAAGCTGGTAGGCCCACATGTGAGAGAATGGGTCTGTGTGGTCAGTGTGCACCACATAAAAAAAATCCTGCAGCACACATTGCGTAATGAGAAAAAAAAAACTGATCGTTTTTTTGGAATAAAATGCCGACTTTGAGGTGTATTTTCGTATAGTATTTATCGTTGTATTCGCGTTTTCCTGGTCTTAGGTGATAAAATGGAAAACATATTACAGAAATAGAGATGATTTTCATTACTTTGACGATGAAAACGACCTTGAAACTGAGCTCAAAGTAGTGGAAATGTTCGATTTTTACCAATGTTCAGGAGTAAATAAATCACACCACACGTCCAATACACGTCAACTGGGGAGTCTAATATTTTCTTTCCATCATAGGTGTCGCACAGATTTTATATTATCACGTTATCAGGGCCAAAAAAATTTTTACCAATAAGGTGTTAGTAGTTCTGGCATTAACATAAATTTTGCTATTTTTTTTGTAATGAATATAAAAATTTTCCAATCATCAAAATATGTGAATAGCCCTAAAAATTTAATTTTAATATAAGCAGGGGGCCTAGAGATGTGACTAATGAACAGAGCATATGTTATTTTAGTGCCACAAATGTCTACCTGTTTATTCTGGACCCTATTTTGAAATTGGCATCTTTTTTAGTTTGCTGAAATTGGCCAAATTGCCAATTTCTGACCACCATATTGGGTAGTCCAAATTAGTAAATGGGAGGTTTCTTGTACTCAGCTGATAGATAAAATGGAGTTCTAAAGAAATAGCTATGAGTTTGGTCAACTGGAACAATGGAATTGGCTGAAAATAGGGCTCAAAGTCTGCGAAATCGCCGATACGCATATGTCGCCGAGACCGCTAACTTCGCGGGAGCATAATTCCATGAGTTTTCGACCAAATTTCGAACTTTTGGTGTCATTGCCATCGGGAAAAGATTCTCTATCATTTCATAAGAAATTTTTTTTTTTTTTTTTTTTTTTTTTTTTTTTTTTTTTTCAAAAATTGAGCGACATAGAATGACAGTTTCAGAAAGGGGCCTGAAACAGTCAAAGGGTTAAAAAATAAAAAGTACTTATTTCCAGGTCTAAAATACATATATGAAAAATCCATATTACCTGACTAATTTCTACCAAAACAACATTGACGTACTATTTACACAAATGTATCATTCACCAAAATTCAATGGATTTGATAACACAAAAAATGCATGAAAGTCCATTATCTTGAATAGTACACCTACCATCTCGACTTACGACCAAGTTCGGTTCCGAGAAACCGGTCGTAAGTCGAACTTTACTACTGAATATCAACAAAACATTTTTGTAATGACTTTACTTTATTGTTTTATTTTGGGATTTCACATTTTACTTTACTTTTTATGCTGTTAGTACTGTATTTTATACTGTAAGGTTTAGGATAAACACTTTATACAACACAAATAGTTGTTTATTTCCCAGAAATTTGGCATAAAAAACATGGTCGTAAGTCGAGTGGTCGTAAGTCGGATGGTAGGTGTACTTGAAAGTATCTTTAGAGTGTAAACTTGTTACCACTCTAATGCCCTTACTTTATCTTCTCTCCTTAGTGATGAAACCTCCCCTCCCCCCTTTGACACAGACTCCCTCTTTGAAATTTTTATCAGCCACAAATATATTACACCAGCTTTGATTAAACTTCCTTTAGCAGTCCTCACCACCCTTACTAATGCTACTATTGTTATACTTCTCACCCTTGGTAATCTCTGATCAAGTATATTACACCTTTAGCACACCCTACCTTGCAGCACTGTATGACCCTTGTGGGTTTAGCAGTTAGTTATGATTGTAGTAATAAATAATAATATAATAATCAATGTTATTGACACAAGTGTCCTCCTGGTATGCAGTAGGTTACCAAGCTTAGTCATTTTTTATAATTTCTTCCAAGCAAAAAAATTAAGACTTGGTTATAACTGACAAAAGTCCTGTAGAACATAATGTAACCCATAATATGTTACTTTTATAAGCCTAGGAATGTTTCTTAATGGTTCTTGGCATAAGTCTGGTGAATGAACACATTGAAACTTAATGTGTCATTTGAATAAATTACAAATATAAAAAGTTAATATTGGCAGTTTGGAGGGATATGTTGTGTATCTTTATACGTATACCTTCTAATAATGGTTTGTAATCAACACCTCTGCAAAAGTATTGTGATGTGACGCCAGGAGTGTTGAATGCAAAGAGAAACACTCTTGCCTTTCTGTGGTCAAATAATGCCCATGAAATGCTCAGGCACCTCACTCCTTGGGAGATGGCCGACTTTGCCTGATTCGTCACCACTACTCTTTCTCCCTACCCTTCTTTCTACCTCCCCCCCCCTTTGACTCGGACTCCTCCTGGCTTTTTGACAACCTCTGATTTGTTACACAAACTTTGATAATGCTTCCTTGAGCACTCCTAACAGTCCTTTCTAACTCTACCTCTGTTACCCTCTCCACCCCTGGCTCCTCTCTGCCCCCCCCCCCCTCTGCCCTGTAACACTGATCCTAGTGGGTTTAGCACTTTTGATTATAATAATAAATTCTACTTTCTGCTCTAACAAGTGAACACATGCCTGTTGGATGTGCAAACTCCTAGCACTCAAAACCTCCATTACCTCCTCCCTTATAATCCTTCTTGGGATGACCCCCCTACCCCTCCACCCCTGATTTATATATACTCTTGGTAAATTTCCCTTTTTGCCTCAATGGATCAAGTTATTGGGCCATAGATGCCTCAGTGCACCATCCACCTTTTTACCTTGTTTAAACTAAGGTTCACTTCGTCTTTTGTAGACCATCTGCTGACATGTCCAGTCCCAAATATCCAAATGTGTATACTTCATCCAAGACTCGCTCGCTCCAATCTGATAATTAGTCTTTCACTGCCTAGTTATTCTGTTACTTTCGTCACCTTGTTCTTTCCTGTATTCTTATATATTAGATATAATGGAATCTTTTTGATCTTTCACATTTTGTATCCAATTTTGGCACATGTACAGTATTAGGAGTCCAGTGAATTTTTGTATATTTTGTACCTGTCTCTAATGTTTATGAATGACTAACAGTATTTTTTTTTTTTTTCAGACAGCCATCCTCCCCCCTACTGGGGAAGTCTTGCCCACAGACTCAGTCCTCCCAACAGACTCATCTCAACCCTCTGTCCCAGCCTCTTAAGGGAAAGAAAAAATTGTCAGTAGCAAGAAGATCGAGAAAGTTACGATCACTCGTACACCCGTTGAAGCCTGCAATAGTGTCTAGTTACCTTTTTGTCAGGGAGGTGAGTGCTGGACACACATTTGAAGAGACAGAAGAACTTACAGATGTCGAGGACTTGAGAATTGAAGAAGATATGGAGACTGAAGCCTCAGAACTAGTTGGTGTGAAGGTGATTAAAGAGGAGGTAGAACAGATAGAGAAATTAACAATATCCGATGTGCCGATAAACCAAAATGAACAAATTACACAACATGCTTTACAAGATAGTGATATAAATTAATTTTTTTAAATTTGGTGTGGTATTCAATTATTTTAGTTGTACAAGAAGTAACTTGTGCTCACTGTTGACATTAAATGAGATAAAAGAACCAACATGGAAAGTTTGTGATTGAAACATTTGTATGGTGAGTGGCAAGCTTTTACACTGGCTGTTAAGTAGCAGGTTTGTAAATTTTGTCAGGTGGTAGTACTGGTACTTTTCTATCAGTGAAGTCTTTTGGAAGCCCTTAAAGCAACAGGGGTTTGTCCTGAGTTACAAGATGGTAACTTTACAGTACATTTATTTATTTAAGTAGTGTTGCTATTTTGTACGTATGGAATATTTGGCCAATGTATGCATGAATTTGAGCTAAGTGGGGAAGTAATGCAGTGATCAGTCAAGAAGAACATGGAGACATTAAAAGAAGCTAGCATTTGAGTCTTCTTTTACTGGGTGTTGAGATTTTTCTCTATACAGTAGTTTAAAATAAGCCAGAACCTTTTAAACTGTTGGTACATGGTAAATCTCATTTCTAGGCATGTTAATTGTGATACATTTTGAAGCGATGTGTTGGTTTCTTATAAACCCCTGCTTGGCTCAACACAATTGTTTTGGGAAATGCACATGAGAAAAAACCTAGCTCTGAGATCCAGAGAGAAGGTTCTAAGCATCTCAATTCAGTTGTAAAAATATTTAATAAATTAAATTATACACATTTTTATTAGACATTTGGTATACCGGGTATTAAAAATTTAATTAATAAATTTTAAGTGAGGTGGAAGATCAGGAGTGCTTCAACTATTGTTTGGAAGCTATTTCTTAAACATCACCTTCAGTGACATACTGAATAAAACTTGAGACAAGTGAATCTGCATCTGCATTGTCTGGATGTATTTATCGTTTTTGCCAAAAAGGAGGGGAGACAGTGAAGTATGTTAGGTGCAGATAAAATACAACCATAAACTTTATTTTTATGTAATGTATATAAATATTCTTTTGATGCATTATTGGGGTAAACAAAATAATGCAGATGAAGATATTTTTTTATGTTATTTCTTACTGCAAATTGCAGATAAATCAAAGTCTTAAGTTGGTGGTTTGGTATTTCTCACTATTAATTTATTTGTATTTAGTAGATTTTATGTTTGGAGGAAATGATATTTTGTAGAAATGAATGAGGTGGCTTAAATGCAAAGAAAATAATTGACAGTGATAATGAATTTTTTTTTTTTTTTTTTTTTTTTATAAATCAGGTGCAAATTACTGTAGCGGAGTTGTAGATATGACCCATTTGCTTGTACAGCATCAAATAAAAGCAGTACTGCTTTTCATGAAAAAGATACATCAGGAATGATAGTTACATTATAATTGGTGTAAGAAAACTTGCAGGATACTAAATTATAAGAGATCTCAGATTCTTAGGAAAGTAGCCATGTCTTAGGTAAGGAAACTGTTTTGAAGACTATGGAGATTGAGGGTGTAGTGGTACCTTATACCTGAGCAGTAACGATATGCAATTATTGCGAAACATTATTTCAGGTACATTGCACACTAGTTTGATAACGTCCGAATTTTAAAAACTTTGTCAGACACCAATTGGGATAAGTAAAGATTTCTGGCATAATTTTCAGGTTGGTTATACTTAAACTGGATTATAATAATTCAGTGTTTGGGTAGTGTTTTGCTGAAAATTCTTATGGGATACCATTGAATTACATTCTGAAAAATTTTAAACCTTGTGAACAAGATTTCTCTGTATATGATTAATTGGTTTACTGTATTTCAGTAATCTTTGTATATTTTCTTTATATTGTACCCCACTTTTTTAAACTGGTACATTATAATGTGAATATTGTCCTATTTCTCAAAGCTCTTGAAATATACACCAAATTATGATTACGTTTAAAAATAACCACACATGGTAGCTGGCAGCATTAATGACCAACAAGCTGTTTTAATTCAGATAACTTCCTAGTTGACTGGCTGTGTGGAAACTTACATGACAGCGATCATTTCCCAATCATTCTTACTTCCCTTTCATATTCACCACCTCTTCGTAACCCATGCTGGCAAATTGGAACCTTTACTCACAACTGTTTTTAGTGAGGTTCCTTCTTCGTCCTCCATTGATGAGCTTTTACACCTCATCTCGTCCTCCATTTTAACCGCAGCTTCTCATTCTATACCCCAAACTTCGGGCAGGCATTCTCAGAAATGTGAGTGGTGGTGGTCTCCTGCTTGTGGTCGTGCAGTACGTTTGAAACGCGCTGCGTGAGGCAGGTACCGGTACAGTAGAACCACGGAGAGACTTCTTGATTTTAAGCAGAAGCGTGCGATCGCTCACTGTCATCCGTGACGCTAAACACACTTGCTGGTGAGATTGTCTCCATCATCACCTCGCTGTATAGTCCTTGTGGCTTAGCGCTTCTTTTTGATTATAATAATAATAATCCATCACACCTCTGCTTCCTCTATGAGTGCAGTCCCCTCAAGGAAGGTTCCTTGATGTTGGTGAGGGGCTCTTGATTTAGGAAATTGGATCTGTGCTCCAGTTCCCCGAATTAAGCCTGAATGCCTTCCACATCCCCCCCCCCCGCACTGTATAATCCTCCGGGTTTAGCGCTTCCCCTTGATAATAATAATAATACAAGTGCAGTCTGGAAAAAAGTACGAAAACCGAGTGGTAAATATTCTCCTGACCCGGCTCCTGTTCTGCGGGTTGCCGGTGTTGATATAGCAAACCCACTAGATGTTGCCAATGAAATTGGCAATCATCTGGTCCGTATTTCTCAGGGGCTCCATCAATGCCCCTCGTTTCTTTTCTCAAAGTCTGCCAGAGAGTTAGCATCCTTGGACTTTTCTTCTCTCAGAGAAGAACAGTATAATGTGCCTTTTACACTTAGGAACTGGAGGCAACACTGTCAGCTTGCCGATCATCGGCAGCTGGGCCCGACGACATTCATATTCGTATGCTGCAACATTAACATCAGTCAGCCCTTGCAGTCCAATTACGCCTTTTCAATATTATTCAGTCACAGGGAGTTGTTCCACAGCTGTGGAAATCTGCCATTGTTCTCCCTTTCCGCAAACTGGGTACTACGTGACGTGAAGCTTCCCACTATCGTCCCATTGCTCTTACCAGTGCAGTTTGCAAAGTGGTGGAAAGCCTGGTAAATAGACGTTTAGTGTGGTATTTAGAGACACACAACAGTCTCTCCACTTGTCAATATGGCTTTCGTAAGGGCCGTTCTACCATAGACCCCTTACTACGCTTGGATACATATGTTCGTAATGCCTTTGCGAATAGCCACTCGGTTATTGCCATAATTTTTGACCTTGAGAAGGCATATGACAACTTGTAGGTATAATATTTTGGCCCAAGCCCACTCCTTAGACCTTCGAGGCAATCTACCATCCTTCCTTAAGAACTTTTTAACTGACAGACATTTCCGTGTTCGGGCTAATAATGTGCTCTCCCCGGACTATATCCAAGCTGAAGGTGTCCCCCAGGGATGTGTTCTGAGCACAACACTTTTTCTCCTTGCTATAAATGATTTGGCCTCTAGTCTTCCATCAAATATTTGGTCATCACTCTATGTTGATGACTTTGCTATTGCATGTGCAGGCGCTGACTGTCACATTACAGTTTCTCTCCACCATGCGGTCGACCGTGTTTCCAATTGGGCCACCACACATGGGTTTAAATTTTCCAGTACCAAAACTCGCCAAATTACTTTCACTAGACGCTCTGTCATCTTCGATCATCCTTTGTACCTCTATGGCTCCCATATCCCTGAACGTGATACAGTCAGGTTTCTAGGCCTCCTCTTTGACCGTAGGTTATCCTGGAAACCTCACATTATCTCTCTGAAGGCAACTTGTCACAGCCAGCTGAACCCTTAAAACCCTTGCTCATCTTGCATGGGGAGCTGATCGTCAAACTCTCCTTCGCCTACATTCTGCCCTCATTTTATCGAAACTTGATTATGGTGACCAGATCTATTCAGCGGCCTCTCCTGCTACTCTCTCTAGCCTTAACCCCATTCATCACCAAGGATTACGTTTATGCCTTGGTGCTTTTCGCTCTTCCCCTGTTGAGAGCCTATGCAGAAGCGAACGTTCCATCCTTATCCGATCACCGTGATGCCCATTGCCTTCGCTACTATGTACGCTCTCATGATCTCCGCAGTCCTTCCATTTATAGAATGGTCACCGATATTAGTAGACATTCTTTATTTGTTCGCCGCCCGTTTGCTCCGTCCCTTCTCCCTTCGCCTACATTCGCTCTCGTCTTCTCTTCAGTTACCACCTCTATGTTCATGTAGCATCTCCCTTTTCCCTACCCCCCTGGGGAGTTCCAGCTGTTCGAGGCTGTTCTTTCTCACTCCCTTGCTCGAAAGCCCAACTGTCTACGTTAGCTTCCCGCTCTCTTTTTCTTGACCACTTCCACTCTCATTCTCATGCCATTGCAGTGTACACAGATGGCTCTAAGTCTTCTGATGGCGTAGGATTCGCAGCAGTGTTTCCGGACAGTGTCGTACGAGGGCATTTACTATCTTCGGTATCTTTACTGAATTTTATGCCATTCTAGCAGCACTTATCCGTATTGCATCTATGCCTGTGTCATCATTTGTGGTTGTCTCAGACTTCTTTAGTGCTTTACAGGCTATACAGAAATTTGATACACCTCACCCCTTAGTCCTCCGTATCCAACTTTGGCTACGCCGCATCTCTTCCAAACAAAGATAGTTTTTTTGTTGGGTCCCTGTTGACGTACAGGGCAATGAACAGGCAGACACTGCTGCGCGGTCAGCAGTACATGACCTCCCAGTTTCATATAGAGGTGTTCCATTTATGGACTATTTTGCTGCAATAGCTACCCACCTTCACACCCGTTGGCAACAACGTTGGTCTACTCTGCTCGGTAACAAACTTCAATCTATTAAACCGAGTATAGGTTACTGGCCGTCTTCTTGTCACCAGTGTCGAGGTTGGGAGACTACTCTCTCCCGTCTTCACATTGGCCATACTAGTCTTACTCATGGTTATCTCATGGAGAGGCGCCCTGCTTCTCTCTGTGAGAATTGTCAGGTTCCATTATCGGTTAGCCACATTCTATTAGACTGCCCACTTTATCAACAAGCACGCAGAATATACCTCCAACGTCTTCTTCGCTCCGCTGCTCTCTCTTTACCTTTCCTTCTCGCTGATGGACCCAACTTTCATCTGGACTCTCTCATTGACTTTTTGACAACAACTGACTTACTTCACAAACTCTGATGATACCTTCAGCCCTTTTTACCTCAGTCTCTTGCTGCCCTCTACCCCCGCACTATCCCCTGCCCCGCTGTTTTCTGTAACCTACTGATCATCCCTTCCCCCTTCTACCGCCCAATACTCTCGCTTCCTTCCCTACCCTGCAGCGCTGTATAGCCCTTGTGGCTTAGCGCTTCTTTTTTATTACAATAATAATGTGTGGAAACTGTTCTTGCATGCCTTCATATCATTCCCCTTTCCCCACTGTCCAGAATCTGACACTTGCCATGTCTGACTGTCCAGCACCATTTAAGTGATAATCTTGTGTATTAAAGTGCACACAGGTCTCATTTCTGACACCTGGATGCCCTCATTGACAGCTCTGCTTTTAGAGTTGTACACTGCAGATAACCTGGCTTGTTAAAATTTTCCTGTTTGCATTTGCCTTTTCCCTGCCATGTAGCTCTATACAACTCATTCAGGTTTAGCACTGAATATAATTTTACAATTTTTTAATACCCATTCTTCTTATATTGTATTAACTTTGCATTTCCTCTTGTGCACAAACTCATTACCCCCTTCTTTGTGTTCATCAAGCATTATACAACACCTTACCCCCTCCCTCTTCCATCACCAAGTTTGGTGCTTTCCCATTAATATTAGAGAAAAAAAATTTACCAAGTGGATTTTTTTTTTATTTACAATGAGATTCTTAAAGGGGGGAGGGGGATGCTAGTGATTCAAGGAATTTAAGCTACCTTCCCCTTCCTTGGAAGAAACTTTCCTGTTCTCTAATACTTTCAGGTTTGATACTTCCCTATATATTTAATAGTAATTGGACTAAAAATTCACACACATCCATGGAAACAAGCTTTACTGGCCACTTACTTCCAGTATGTCGATGGTGTCGACTCCCTTTACTTCCAGTGTTAAAACTAGGTTTACTGCTTCATGAATATAGTAAATCTACTACATGTAGTGCTATATGACCCATATGGGTTTGGCACTTAAATTTTACTACAAGCACCAAACAGCGCTACGACCCTCATGGGTTAAGCGCTTAGTTTTGATTCTAATACAGGCACCAAAAGAACTGCAACTTCTAACAGTGGGGAAAAGCAAAATTAGAATTAATGGCATCATAAGCTACAAGAGTAAGCCTTGCCCTACAGAGAATTGAATGACTAACCATACCATGGGTGGGGATTGAACTCTGGTGCTGTGTGACTGGGTTCAGCATGTCTCCATGAAAATGATAAGTCTTAAATGTCTCAAATGACTGAGGTAAAAAAAAAATTTATAATATATTTTTTTAACAAGTTGGCCATCTCCCACCGAGGCAGGGTGACCCGAAAAGAAAATACTTTCATCATTCAACACTCGCCTATAATCAGTTTTTACAGAGGTGCCCAGAACACAACAGTTTAGAAGCATATACGTATAAAGATACACAACATATCCCTCCAAACTGCCAATATATAAATATATATAAATACATACATATATTTATTGAGTATACCAGGAAAAGTGTATAGTCCCTTTATATAAAGGTAAAGGGGACAAAAGAGACTAAAAATTATAGAGGAATAAGTCTACTGAGTATACCAGGTAAAGTGTACGGTAGGGTTATAATTGAAAGAATTAGAGGTAAGACAATGTAGGATTGTGGATGAGCAAGGAGGTTTCAGAGTGGGTAGGGGATGTGTAGATCAAGTGTTTACATTGAAGCATATATGTGAACAGTATTTAGATAAAGGTAGGGAAGTTTTTATTGCATTTATGGATTTAGAAAAGGCATATGATAGAGTGGATAGGGGAGAAATGTGGCAGATGTTGCAAGTATATGGAATAGGTGGTAAGTTACTAAATGCTGTAGAGTTTTTATGAGGAAAACGGGGCTCAGGTTAGGGTGTGTAGAAGAGAGGGAGAATACTTCCCGGTAAAAGTAGGTCTTAGACAGGGATGTGTAATGTCACCATGGTTGTTTAATATATTTATAGATGGGGTTGTAAAAGAAGTAAATGCTAGGGTGTTCGGGAGAGGGGTGGGATTAAATTATGGGAATCAAATTCAAAATGGGAATTAACACAGTTACTTTTTGCTGATGATACTGTGTTTATGGGAGATTCTAAAGAAAAATGCCAAGGTTAAGTGGATGAGTTTGGGAATGTGTGTAAAGTAGAAAGTTGAAAGTGAACATAGAAAAGAGTAAGGTGAGAGGGTATCAAATGATTTAGATAAAGAAAAATTGGATATCAAATTGGGAGGAGGAGAGGGGAAGAATAAATGTTTTCAGATACTTGGGAGTTGACGTGTCGGCGGATGGATTTATGAAGGATGGGGTTAATCATAAAATTTGATGAGGGAAAAAAGGTGAGGGGTGCGTTGAGGTATATGTGGAGTCAAAAACTTATCTATGGAGGCAAAGAAGGGAATGTAAAAGTATAGTAGTACCAACACTCTTATATGGGTGTGAAGCTTGGGTGGTAAATGCAGCAGCGAGGAGATGGTTGGAGGGAGTGGAGATGTCCTGTCTAAGGCAATGTGTGGTGTAAATATTATGCAGAAAATTCGGAGTGTGGGAAATTAGGAAAAGGTGTGGAGTTAATAAAAGTATTAGTCAGAGGCTGAAGAGGGGTTGTTGAGGTGGTTTTGGGCATTTAGAGAGAATGGATCAAAGTAGAATGAAAATGGAAAGCATATAAATCTATAGGGGAAGGAAGGCAAGGTAGGGGTCGTCCTCCCAAAGGGTTGGGGAGAGGGGGTAAAGAGGTTTTGTGGAAAGGGCTTGGAAATTCCAGCAAGCGTGCGTGAGCGTGTTAGATAGGAGTGAATGGAGACGAATGGTACTTGGGACCTGACGATCTGTTGGAGTGTAGCAGGGTAATATTTAGTGAAGGGATTTAGGGAAACCGTTATTTTCCCTAAGTCGACTTGAGTCCTGGAAATGGGAAGTACAATGCCTGCACTTTAAAGGAGGGGTTTGGGATATTGGCAGTTTGGAGGGATATGTTGTGTATCTTTATATGTATATGCTTCTAAACTGTTGTATTCTGAGCACCTCTGCAAAAACAGTGATTATGTGTGAGTGTGGTGAAAGTGTTGAATGATGATGAAAGCATTTTCTTTTTGGGGATTTTCTTTCTTTTTTTGGGTCACCCTGCCTCGGTGGGAGACAGCCAACTTGTTGGAAAAAAAAAAACATACATACTATCTGACCACCTTGCTTATAGCCCTACCTTTGATGCAGACATCCTCTGATGTCATCAACTTCCTTATATTTGATTATAATAATAATCAACTTCCTTATTACACTAACTTATATTTTCCCTGTAGTGCTCCCCATCCTGATAAACTGTCTCAAACACTCCTGACCCCTCCCTGGTCTGATCTTTAGCATATTCCACCCTGCAGCACTATGACCCTTGTGGGTTTAGAGCATTTCAACCATAAGAAGAATAGTGATCAGAGAAGACTAACAGGTGGAGAGAGTAGATGAGAGAATGACAGCAAGAGAATGGGGTGTTTGATCTAGGAATCATGCCTTCCTTGGATGACCTTTAATGATGTGGCACTTAAAATGATTACATTGCCTTCCCAAGGAAGGCAATGTAATCATTTCATTCATGGGGAAAGCAAAATCTGTTGGTGTTATACAGCACCTGGGAAAATGGGAAGCAGTCTGAGGAAAGGAAGAATAAGGATCACAAGTCCCTCACTGGCATCAAAGCATCTCCCTTGAGGGTTAAGTAAACTAACAAGGGTATCAAGGAGAAGTAAAGAGTGAGCTTGACCTCCAAGATTTACCATTTCCTAGATAATAAAATATAACAGGAATAATTTATCATGGTGTATAGTGTCCCAATAATTGAATCACATTAAAAAGCCATAAAACAGACCAGGATGAGTGGTAGGGCCTTACCTGTCCTCAGGAAAATAAAAAATTTAATTTGAATTTCCACTACTTAGAGCCCAATTTCAGGCTACTTTCATTCCTGAAACCAACCAACCAACCACAATCTATTTCAATACTAGGTACCTTCCATTTTATCAAATGATACCAAGAAATAGCTAATAGAACCAGCCTAGACAATGCCATCACTACGTTAAACCAAATAAGGTCAGACTTTCAGTTTGTCTATCATGCGCTGCACAAGGCAGGACTTTTTTTTATACTGTGCACTCGCTACACACCCATTCTCTTGTACATTGGCCAAAATTTATTGCTCACAGCTTTTGTGACTGGAGCTCATGATGCAGATCAACACAAGGGACCCTGGCATCAATTACAAATGTGTGACAGCCACTGAAATGGTTAAGTTACCATAGGGCCCAGAACCTAACTTATACAGAAGATGCACAAAAAAATATTTACATATTACTGGAAAGAGATGAAACATTAAGTAATAGATTTGTTTATCAACCCAGATTTTGATAATGATTGCACATCTTTCCTGCTGTGCAATGCATTGTATACATGGAAAGTTCTTGACAACCTTGTCCCAAACCTACACACTACCATTAATGTACTGGAACGAAAGATATGGGTAGAAAAAAAGCAAGAGCCCCATAGGAACAAGAAGAGAACACTCAACATCAGTGGAGCCAGACTATTCAACATTCTACCAGAAAATTAAAAACACTGTTTATACAAGTGTAGAAGTCTAAGTAGAAACTTGCCAAGTGCCAGATTTCTGACAAATTAACATGCATCCTAAAGTTAATCAAAATGGTCTTCCAAAAATTGGATGTTCTACTGCTGAACCGACTTTATATATTTTTACAAAGGGCAAAAAACACACAATAATACTGTAAATGAAACATTTAATAGATAGCCTTACTTACACTTCAAACAAAATTACATGCCTAAAGAAAAAGGAGAGTTTCTGTTGATATCTTAATCCTAAGCTGGCATCTTTTTCCCATTTACGAGCCCCTGAAAATAAAAATAGTACAATCACCATGCAGAATAAGACTACAAATTAAGGCTTAATATGCAAGCACTTCATACAATAAAATCTAACTTTTAATGTTAAAAATTCATAAATCTATCATTTGTGAAATCATTACACTAAGATCAGTATACAGTAGGGCCCCACTTAAACGGCAGGCTAGGTTTCAGGCTAATGCCGGAAAGTGGAACTCCATTTGTTTCCACTTATGTCAGATAATAAGGTTACATTAACATATATTAAGTTAGCAATAGAATTAGGTATTAAAAAAACAATAAAAAGTAAAATACACACATAGTACACTCGTTACTTGCCTCAAAATATCTGTAGTCTTAATGTAGGGTGAGAAAGGAGTAGTGTTTATTGTAAGAAGTCAGGTGTGGTAAGTATGGTAGCCCACCTGACCAACCCACACATTTAAAGCACCCTGGAGCAATAAAATGCATATAGTGTACACTCATTACTTACCTTAAAATATTGGTAGTCTTAATGGTCATAATGTAGGGTGCAAAGTGAATAGTATTTATTTGTAGAAAGTCAGGTGTGGTAGGTATGGTAGCCCATCTGGCCAACCCACCCACACATAATATACTAGGCATTTAAAGCACCCTAGAGCTATAAATGCATATACAGTGGACCCTCGAGTAACAGCGGCATTAGCCAACGCCAAGAGGATAGCAGCACGTTTTTGTGTCAAAATACTGGCTCGGCTAATGCCCAAGAACTCGGTTAAGGACATTCGTCCCGAATGTGTCCGCACGGCCTGAGCCCATGTAAAGCCAGTGTGCCATTGTTTACAAGTGAGGGAGGACGATTCCACGCATACATGCGATATATTTTGTATTATTCCATTGTTTTTAGTACTTGTACCTGATAAATAAGCCACCATGGGCCCAAAGAAAGCTTCTAGTGCCAGCCCTGTGGTAAAGGAGGAAAGCAGCACAATAGAATTCAGAAAAAACTCATAGCAAAGTACCAAAGTGGAGGAGGAAGAGAGAAGGAAGAATGTCCCTTCTGCAGTGATTCAGTGATTCTACGATATGTATGATACTAAAGCAGCAGGTATCGATAAAAGCTATAGTGCCAGCCAGCGATAAAGTGTAGAATTAACTGTAGCAAGTTGAGAGTAAGCGATAGAAAAATGACACGAAAATAACTCGCCAAAGTTGTTGGTATGTATCGGGCCAATGAACATACGCAGGCCTGCTATCTTCCACCACCCTAAACCTCTGCCAGCATCTCCTCCATCAAACTAACATCTCCAAGGTAAGTGTAAATATAAAAGTATAAGCATAAAAGTAAATACAAGTGTAAATATAAAAGGACCCCAATGGAAATACGCAAGTCACTGACTTTTTTGGATTATCCCAGGTACTTTACACTTATGCTGCTATGTATGATAATCTAGGTACATAACTGTATTTATGTATACCTGAATAAACTTACTTATTTATAAATTAAAATGTAAATATTTCTTATTTATAAATTACATACATTGTTTAAGTGTGAATAATGGTGGTGGGTTCTGCCTTCACCTCCACTATGTATGGCTTCTCTCAATGGCCCTTATAAACCCACCACCACTTACTCCTCACATACATTATGACATAGTATTTTATTCATTCTAGAGTATATATCATGTTTCTATGTTATTAATATTGTTTATGTCATATCAGATGAATTGTGATAGATAAATAAGCCATAGAGATGATATTAGCGTTACGTTGAAGCATAATAAACTCGTCTCCCTCTCACCTACCTGTCTTCCATACACCAACAAGAGTCAAAGGTAAGTGTGATGTTAAATGTTCATTTATCCATTTTATCAGTGCTTTATATTTATTTGTCATTGTTTTCTATATGTATATCTATATTTAATCTTTAAAAAAAATATTTTTTGTTAATACTTTTGGCTGTCTGCAATGGATTAATTGGATTTCCATCATTTCTTACGGGGAAAAATAAATTCGGCTAATGGCAAAATTGGTTAAAGGCAAGCTTTCTGGAAAGAATTAACACCGTTACCCGAGGGTCCACTGTACAGTACACTCATTACTTATCTTAAAATATTTGTAGTCTTAACGTAGGGTGAGAGGCGAGTAAATGAGGTAAAAATGAATAAACGACAGAGTGAGAACGAGCAATGAGAGGACAGAGCTGCAGAGTATGTAAACAGACGAATGCGGCTGGTGGGTTACATTGTGTACAAATTTTCTCCACGTTGGAGTAACACTCCCATTCTCATGTAACAACCATTGTTAGAAGGAATGACACTCTGAGTGAAGGCATACGAAAGGAATAATTTTATACAGTTACCCCCAGTAATACTATTGTATACACATTTTCTTTGGTGTTGAACTAGAGAAAACGTTATTCTTTCTGACACTCCAACAAGACTGGAAAAACATCTCATTTATGTTAATTTATTCTGTGGGTGTATTTATCATGTTTATTATATAATTTAAAAAAAAATATCGATGGATTAAGCAAAATGTCCATATTAATGTTTTATAGGACATTTAATGCACCTAAGAGTGATTTGTGTGTTATTATGGCATCAAGACTAAGACACTCTTAGTGATTTTAACATGTACTTGCACACCAGCACAGTATGTAAGTTTAGATACAGTTACACAAATATAATTATCAGAGTACAGTGGTACCTCGAATTTTGAACAGCTCCTAACTCGAACAATTATGTAAGTGCACTTTTGTAAGTGTATTTTTGGGGGTCTGAAACGGACTAATCTAATTTATGTTATTCTTTATGGGAACAAATTCGTTCGGTAATGGCACTCGAACAGCTTTCTGGAACGAATTAAGGCTGAAATTCGAGGTACCAATGTATATATAAAATATGAAATAACTTTAAAACACGTGAAATTTTGAAAAGCTTCCAAACATAATGGAGAGCTGTGCTCACGGAGAATGTAAACAAACCAGGTGGAGTGCAGTGACCATATTAGAAAGATGGGGGAGCCGTATAGCGAGTTTTGGTCATACATAATTTGAAATGTCCATATTAGTGGAATGCCGTAAAGCGGGCCCTACTGTACATATTTCCATGGGGTAGCACTAAAAAAAGGGTTACAAGTGCCGGGGGAAATAGGAAAAATCATTTTTGATCCCCCCTAAAAAAAAGGCATCTCAAATAATTTTGGATCAAGACCCCTTTTACTGTTTGGGAAAAGTAAACAGCATAAAAGCTTTTTAAAAATTAAAAATGTAAAGTAAAAAATTTTAGAAACAGGTGGGGTGGTCATGGACAAAGGCTCTTCACAGGGACCCCAAACCCTCAGGAAAGTAGAATTTTTTTTTAAAAGGATAACCGAGATGAAAACTAATTCCTTAAGTTCATTTGTTTGAGAAAATTTTAAAATCCACAAATTTAAAATAAAAACATGAAACCAAGGTTTTACTCACCAATAATGTTTTTGATGGGAATATGAAAGCTTGACAAAAAAACCAATAAAAACCCATGAAGCAAACCAATTCTGTACCATGGGATCTTTGGAACCCCTTTGCGGTCAGGTTTGGTCACGCTTCACTGTCCAGGGAAATTTTTGCTGAATTGCCGTCGGGCTCAAAAGCATCAAACTTGACCAATGTCATCAAAAATAAATGGTAAGGTTATAAAGCTCGTGGTTTAAAGATTTTCATGGCACATCAATTTCGTTCAAAAAAATAACCAAGCAAAGTAAATACCATCAAATAGGAGCACAAATGCATTTTTTTATTTTTAAAAAACAATTACCTCACCTGGTGAAAAAATTAGCCAAAGTTTCAGTTAAAGTCTAATATTTCCTCCCCATTTTTAAGGTTCTCCCCTTTCAGTATAAATTTAGCAAACTTGCCAGCACTAACTAAGCTAAAACCCAAAATTTCAAAGTTATATAATTTGTTTTTTTTTAAATTTCCGAACCCATACTTTGGATAAATGGCTAATATTAGTAGTTTTAGAGTGAGTGACTGCCAGAGACCAACTGAACACAGCATTTGAGTAGAAACAAAATAAATAGTACAGTACAGTGGAACCCTGGTTTTCTAACTTATCCGTTCCAGAAGGTCTTTCTAAAACTGAAACATGTGAAAAATTAATCAATATTTCCCATAAGAAATAACGTAAATACAATTAATCTGTTCCCGACACCTAAATATATTCACAAAAAAAATTTATTTTTTAAACAATATGACACTAATATCATGACTCTACCTACAGCTTATTTATCTATCACAATTGATCTAGTATGACATAATAAACAATATTAATAACAGAAACTTAATAAACAATATTAATAACATAGAAACATAGGCACTAGGAACTTTCTTTGGGCCCATGGTGGCTTATTTCGCAGTCACAATTAATAAACAAGCACCAAAAACAAGGATTACAAATGTTTTAGAATGCGCGAAGTAATGCTCACTCGACCAGTGACAGAGGCAGACTGAAATGTGTAGTGGTGGTGTCCCTGGGCGGGCAGACGTCCGATTACCGGATCAAGGTCCGATATCTGGAACAAAATTTCACACAAAAAAACGGTCCTAAACCAAAATGTTTGATAACTGGAGTGTGCGAAAACCGGAGTTCCACTGTATCTGCAACTGAATCTTAGATTCATCCAATAATTTTTATTGCTGGGTATTCATCAGGTAATTGCTTATGTGCATGCAAGAACTTTTATTTAATGATATAATTCAATAAAGTGGATAAAAGATTTCCCCATTATTCTAAATTCTGAAAAATTGCAAAACCTCTCAACAGCTGGCTATAACTGTCTCAAAGGTTTGTCATCAGCATCTAGTGTTACATACACTGCCAGTGTCTTCTTGTTTACACTCGATTTAGTGGTATAGTCTCTTCCAGTTTTGAGTAATGTAAAACAACCACATTTAGCTAACCCTTTGACCGATTAGGTCGTATACGTATATATGTCTTACGAGCCAGTGTTTTTGATGTATTCATACTCCAAAATTCTAGCGGCTTGAAATCAAGCGGGAGAAAGCTGGTAGGCCCACACGCAAGAGAATGGGTCTGTATGGTCAGTGTGTGCAGCATAAAAAAAAATTCTGAAGCACGCAGTGCATGAGAAAAAAAAAGCCTTGGATTGCATTTTTGGATTAAAATGATGACTTTGAGGTATATTTTTGCATAGTATTAATGGTTGTATTCTCGTTTTCTTGGTCTCACTTGAAAGAATGGAAGACATATTACAGAAATAGAGATGATTTTGATTGGTTTTCTGATGAAAAAGACCTTGAAATTGAGCTCAAAGTAGTGGAAATGTTCAATTTTTTGCCGATGTTCAAGAATAAATGATGTCATTGTCCAATAAGTGTCCAACTAGCCATTCTAATACGCAGTCACGAATGGGTTGACATTATTTATACAATTATTACAATAATGCAGTAATCTGTATAACAGTAAATCATCTCTTTTTGTGCATAAAAATTCAAAATAGAAAGCAAGAGTAATGGGGCCTGGAGACATGACTGATGAACAGAGAAAATAATATTTTAGTGCCCGGAATGTGTGCATTGTTCATTCTGGACCCTATTTTGAAATTGGCATCTTTTTTAATTTGCGTGAAATTGGCCAAATTGCCAATTTCTGTCCACTTTATTGGGTAGTTGAAATCAGTAAATGGGTGGTTTCTTGTACTCAATCGATAGAACAAATGTTGTTCTAAAGAAATAGCTACAAATTTGGTCGACTGGAACAATGGAACTGGGTGAAAATAGGGCTCAAAGTGGGCGAAATCGCCAATGTGTAAACATCACCTAGATCACTAACTTCACGAGAGCATAGTTCCATAAGTTTTCCATCAAATTTCGTACTTTTGGTGTCATTAACATCAGAAAAATATTCTCAATCATTTAACCCTTTCAGGGTCCGTCCCGTAGATCTACGGCTTTACGTTCAGGGTCCAAACCGTAGATCTACGCCATGAGCTCAGCTCACTCTGATAAACTGTGAGTGGTACATTTGGGCCTAGATATGAGAGAATACATCTATGTGGTATGTGTGCACCACATAAAACAGATCCTGCAGCACACTGTGTATAATGAGAGAAAAAAAATGAAATCATGATTTTTCGATTAAAACAGCAACTTTGCAGTATTTTTTCGTATGTTTTTTATAGTTGTATTTGCGATTTCTTGGTCTCATTTGATAGAATGGAAGACATATTACAGAAATAGAAATGATTTTGATTGGTTTTAGCACTGGAAATGGCTTGAAACTGAGCTCAAAGTAGCGGAAATGTTAAATTTTTGCCGATATTCAAGAGTAAACAAACGACCTACACGTCTAATACACGTCAGCTGGTGGGTCTAATATTCATTCACAAATATGGTGATGATATTTATACAATTATTACAGTATTGCATAACAGTAAATCTTCTATTTTTTGGTGTGAATAAAAATTCATTATGTGAATAAAAAATCAAAATGGAATTTATTTGTAAAGCCTCAAAACATAACTAATGAACAGAGGAAATGTTAGTTTAGTGCCAGGAATGCCTACATTGTTCATTCTGGACCCTATTTTGAAATTGGAATATTTTGAACTTTGTGTTAAATTGGCCAAATTAACAATTTCCGAAAACTTTATTTTGTAGTTGAAACAGTTGACTTGGCGATTTCTTGTGCTCAATCGATAGAATAGAAGTAATACTAGTGAAATAGCTAAGAATTTGGTTGATGGGAATAATGTAATTGGCCTAAAATGGGAGTCAAAGTCGGCAAAATCGCCGATTCGTAAATATCGCTGACACATCAAATTTGCGAGAGCATAATTTCGTCAATTTTCCACCAAATTTCGTACTTTTTGTTTTATTACCTTCACAAAAAGATTCTCTACGATTTCATAAGAAAAAATAACAAATTTTTTTTTTTTATAAATTCTTGGACACTGGTGCGTGACTCCAGATTTGGGCCTTGGACCCTGAAAGGGTTAAGATTTTTTTTTTTGAAAATTTTGCGAAACAGGCACTAACTCGTAAATGGTCCAAGCAGATCTACATTCACATGCATAGTGCTCCAAAAGTAGATCTACTTTTTTTTTTACATATTTTCAAATACATATAACAAAAAAAAAAATCATAGATCAGTTTTTTTACACGTTTTCAAATGTAAAAAAAAAAAAGATGATCTTACTTTTTTTACATACTATCAAATATTGAAAAAATTATATACGTTTGGACCGTTTATGGGTTATGATTTGGGGTCGCAACAGTCAAAGGGTTAATAATACGATTAAGGAGGAAATAAAAATAAATTTAAAAGCAAATTATTTAGGTGGTGTGTCCTTCCTAACCTCAGTGTTTTCAAGTACTAGATGCTTCAAGAACTTTGTTAGCATTTTCAACAATAAACTATTTGTTAAACTGGTCTCCGAGACCCAAAAAACACCTTACACCTTGGGATATTTTATAACAATTTCACAGCTTACAAAAATAGTGAAAATTTAAATTGCCGAGAATATGTAGTACAGTAATAAGTAAAGTAAATGCACAAAATTATATAAAAAAAAAAAATTTATATTTCATCAATTTTATTGCTCACAGTATGTCAGACCTGCTTTTCAAATGCCAGTGTTAAGAGTCATCCAGGTGGCAATTTCTGCAAATTCAACGATATATTTCCACATGATACGATGTTTGTACAGATGGGTAACATATGATTGTGCATGCAGAAAGTCCATGGTTATGCAGAGCATATCTTCAAACTACAATGACAATAATTATTTGTTTATATTTATGAACATTAAAAGGTAAACAAAGGACAAATTTAGGCATAACCACAAGTTATCCAACAACTAAACACTGGCATTCATTGGGTTAATGCTTGCTAATACTTTTTACCATTTGTATATATGGAAGAATACTTCACCAGTAGGAAAATATCAGACTTCTAATCAAAAGATGACTTGATAATGGTGATATTGACATTAATCACAAAAGAATTCAATGCGAGATATGAACTTTTTTAACAGAATTTATAAGACCACAAAAAAATATTTTCTGTGAGGTTGAGGGACTGATTACATCATTTTACTACTACACCTACTACTTCTGTATTTGACTGAGAAGTCTACTATGTAAGTAAAATGTTTCCTCAATAAAGACATCAAACTATTGCAAGTGTCTTAATCTTCAAGGATAATTCTGCATGCAAAACAACCACTGAAAAAATGGTAAACTTCCAAGTTCTTTCATGATTTCTCACATTATCACAGTTCCTTGATAATGTGAGAAATCACAAAAGTGCTTGGAATAAGCAAGTTTATTCAGGTACAGGTACACACAAATAGTTACATAAATTATCATACATAGCAGCATGTGTGTAGATTACCCAGCATAACCCCAAAAAAAAGTCTGACTTATTTCCATCGGGGTCATATTTTTTCACTATGGTTGTTCTGTATATTGTGATATCACCTGTTTACTGTGATCTTATTGCAGCAAGTATTATCCTGCTTCAGCCACATAAATCATTTTATCTGGCACGGTGGCCCGTTGCCTGGTGGTTAAAGCTCTAGGTTCACACGGCCAGAGTAGAAACATTGGGTGTGTTTCTTTACACCTGTTGTCCATGTTCACCCATCAGTAAAACAGGTACCTGGGTGTTAGTGGACTGGTGTGGGTCGCATCCTGGGACAAAACTGATCTAATTTGCCTGAAATTCTCTGCATAACAAGTGGCTTTCTATGTATTAATATGTCAGTGATGTCAGCTAGGCCTGTATACCTTGTACATGTACTGGTAGAAATAATATTATCATCAAGTGTAGTTATTAGGTTCATGAGGAAGCACTAAACTCGTAGGGTCACACTGCCTGGGGAACCGGGAGGTATTCAGGTTCAATCCAAGGGAACACAGCAAGACTCTTTAAGAGTGTAGCGTCCTCAAACCTCAGAGTAAAATTATCTAGGATAATATTCCTCCCCTCAAAAAAAGGGTTACTTGCGACTTATTTCCACTGGGGTTCTTGTCCCCCTACGAGTCTAGCGCTCCCCTTCCTAATTAATATGAAAGAAGTGTACATCATATTTATGCTCTTCTTACCAGAGTGTACTGGAGCAACAGCAGAGATACAATGATCAGCAGCAGCAACAACAGTGTGTCCGTGTCCACGTACAGCACCTTGTGACGTCACGTCCGTCCACACACAACACGTCACACCACGGCTGCCAACCCTCACACACACATTAATATTTTTCATTAATATTAATAATAATAACCATACAAATAATATCCATATGATACATAGTTTCAACAAAAATTCGCTGACATTTAGTAATAAGTAAAGGACCCCAATGGAAATAAGTCACTCTGTCTGACTTTTTTGGGTTATCCTAGGTTCTCTACACATATGCTGCTATGTATGATAATCTATGTAACTGTATTTGTGTATACCTGAATAAACTTACTTACTTACTTACTTACTTAGAATAAAACCTTAGTTATGATGAGTATTTCCAGCAAATTCAAGCCTAAAGTTAATATATTTCTAAAATTAAAATAGCTTTATTTCCATTAAGTACAGAACATAATTAGTACAAAATTATGTAAAATGATTTATGAATGTGACGAAGCAATTATAACCTGGAGACTTCATGTTTTATAAAATACCATATAACTGCTACAAATAATATACCTTGTGGAAACAATAATACAATAATTTCTTTTCTGCAGTATACAAAATATAGTTTACATGTAATGAAATATTAAACACAAAATAAAGCCACCAGCATGCGATGCATTTCGGGCAGATATTATTCTGCTCGAAATACTAGTGGCTTTCAAGAAATGGCAAAGTATTTTATCCACAGTGGTATATTGCAGACCATTCTGGAGAAATACCCTGACTTTGCTAGCTGTAAATAAAGCATTATCACATGTGTGCATGTGTGCATGTGTGCATGTGTGCGTGTGCGTGTGTGTGTGTGTGTGTGTGTGTGTGTGTGTGTGTGTGTGTGTGTGTGTGTGTGGTGTGTGTGTGTGTGTGTGTGTTGTGTGTGTGTGTTCCACTTAATATTTGTATTTATAACTCATTACAATTGTGACCAGGTGTGGACGTATCAGTGGTTCATTACTTTGTAATTTGTTCATAACTGTAACCATGTATAGGAGTGAGGCTGATTCATTACCTCTAACTTGCCATGATTGTGACCAGATCTACCCGAGTTTATTACCTTTGTAACTAGTTCAGCTATCATAACTTTGAGGTCCAGTCCCCGGACCCATTATATACCTTTGTAATCTTTTGACTACCGCCCACAGGATGGGTATGGGGTGCATAATAAACATATTAAACTAAAACTTTCTTTGTGCTGAACAATATTGCATTACATGTAAACTACATCTTGAAATATTGCAGAAAAGAAATAAAATTGTATTGTATTATTTTTATTAATGGTATAAATAAATAAATATAATTATTTTATAATCAAAAGAAGCGCTAAGTCAAAAGGGGGCTATACAGCAAATAAATATACGTATATATATAATATATATATATTTTAATATATATATATATATATATTATATATATATTATATATATATATATATTTATATATATATTATTATATATATATATATATTATATATATATATATAATATAAATTGGTCTCGATAAGCAAGTTAGAATTTACATATTTAATCGATGCAGAGTTTGCATAAGACTAGAGATTTTTAACATTTTTGGAGTTAGCATGTGAGGAATCCCTCTTATTTAATAGCCAACATGTATGTAACACTCACATTATTATTATAATCAAAAAGAAGCGTTAAGCCACAAGGACTATACAGCGCTGCAGGGCAGGAAGGAAGCGAGGGCATCAGGTGGCAAAAGGGAGATGGATGAGTAATAGGTTACGGATAACAGCGGGGCAGTGGATGGTGAAAGGGTAAAGGGCAGCAAGAGACTGAACTAGAAAGGGCTGAGGGGAGTGCGAAAAGTATCATCAGAGTTTGTGGAGTAAATCAGTCATTGTCAAGAAGTCAATGAGAGAGTCAGGATTAAAGGAGGGTCCATCAGCAAGAAGGGAAGGTAAAGAATGAGTAGTAGAACGAAGACGACGTTGGAGGTAAATTTGCGTGCTCGTTGATAGAGAGGGCAGTCAAAACAGAATGTGGCTAATCGATATGGGAATTTGACATGTCCAGAGGGAACAGGGTGCCTCTCCATGAGATACCCATGAGTAAGACGAGTGGACCAATGCCAAGGCGGGAGAGAGTGGTCTCCAACCTCGGCACTGATGACAAGAAGACGGCAAGTAACCTATGCTCGGTTTAATAGATGAAGTTTGTTACCGAGCAGAGTTGACCAACGTTGTTCCCAAACGGGTGCGAAGGTGGTAGCTTTGCAGCAAAATAGTCCAGAAATGGAACACTCAATAGGAAATTGGTAGGTCATGTACTGCTGACCGCGCAGCAGTGTCTGCCTGTTCATTCCCCTGTACGTCGACATGACCAGGGACCCAACAAAAAACAATATCTTTATGTTTGGTAGAGATACGGCGTACCCAAAAGTTGGATACGGAGAAACTAGGGGATGAGATGTATCAAATTTTCGTATAGCCTGTAGAGCACTAAGGGAGTCTGAGACTACTAAAAGCATAGATGCGATACGAATAAGTGCTGAAAGAATGGCATACAGTTCAGCAGTAAAAATGCTAGCTGAAGATAGTAATGTCCCCGCACGACGCTGTCCGGAAACACTGCTGCGATCCGACGCCGTCTGAAGACTTAGAGCCATCTGTGTACACAGCGGTGGCATGAGAATGGGAGTGGAAGTGATCAAGAAAAGAGCGGGAAGCCACCGTGGGGCAGTTGAGCTTTGAGCAAGGGAGTGAGAAAGAACAGACCCGAACAGCTGGAACTTCCCAGGGGGGTAGGGAAAAGTGAGATGCTACATGAACATATAAAGGTGGTAACTGAAGGGAAGACAAGAGTGAAGTAGGCGAAGAGAAAAGGGACGGAGCAAACGGGCGGCAAACAAATAAAGAATGTCTACTAATATCGGTGACCATTATAAATGGAAGGATTGTGTAGATCGTGAAGGTACATAGTAGCAAAGGCAATGGGCATCACGGCGATCAGAAAAGGATGGAACATTCGCTTCTGTATGAGGCTCTCAACAGGGGAAGAGTGAAAAGCACCAAGGCACAAACTTTAATCCTTGGTGATGGATAGAGTTAAGGCTAGAGAGAGTACCAGGAGAGGCCGCGGAATAAATCTGGTCACCATATCGAGTTTCGATAAAACGAGGGCTGAATGTAGGCGAAGCAGAGTTCGACGATCAGCTCCCCAGGAAAGTTGAGAAAGGGGTTTTAAGAAGGTTTAGCGGCTGTGACAAGTTGCCTTCAGAGAGGTTATGTGAGGTTTCCAGGAAAACCGACGGTCAAAGAGAAGCCTAGAAACCTGACTGTATCACGTTCGGGGATAGGGAGCCATAGAGATACAAAGGATGATCAGAGATAACAGAGCGTCTAGTGAAAGTAATTTGGTGAGTTTTGGTACTTAAAAAATTTAAACCCATGCGTGGTGGCCCAAGTGGAAACCGGTCGACCGCATGCTGGAGAGAAACTGCAATAAGATGACAGTCAGCCCCTGCACAAGCAATAGCGAAGTCATCAACAGAGTGATTGACCAAATATTGGGTGGAAGAACAGAGGCCAATCATTAAAAGCAAGGAAAAAAAGTGTTGTGCTTAGAAACACACCCCTGAGGGGACCTTCAGCTTGGACGAAGTCCGGGGAAAGAACATTATTGACTCAAAACACGGAAATGTCTGTCAGTTAAAAAGTTTCTTAAGGAAGGATGGCAGATTGCCTCGGAGGCCTAAGGAATGGGCCGGGGCCCAAAAATATTATACCTCCAAGTTGTGTCATATTGCCTTCTCAAGGTCAAAAAATATGGCAATAACTGAGGATTATTCGCAAAGGCTTTACGAACAAAACGTATCCAAGCGTAGTAAGGGGTCTATGGTAGAACGACCCTTACGAAAGCCATATTGACTAGCGGAGAGACCTTGTTGTGTTCTCTAAATCCCACATTAAACGTCGATTTACGGGGACGTTCCATCACTTTGCAAACTGCACTAGTAAGAGCGATGGGGCGATAGTGGGAGGCATCATGTCCTGTAGTCCCCGGTTTGCAGAAAGGGGGGAACAATGGCAGATTTCCCAGCTGGGGAAAAAACTCTTGTGCCAAATAAGATTGAAGGGGTTTGTAAGAGGACTACAAGGGCTGACCGATGTAAATTATTGTAACATACGAATATGAATGTCGTCAGGCCCAGCTGCCGATGATCGGCAAGCTGAGAGCGTTGCCTCCAGTTCTTGAAGTGTAAAAGGCACATTATACTGTTCTTTTCTGAGAGAAGAAAAGTCCAAGGGTACTAACTCTCTGACAGACTTTGAGGAAAGAAACGAGGGGCATAGATGGAGCCCTCGGGAAATATGGACCAGATGTGTGCCAAGTTCAATGGCAACGTCGAGAGGGTTTACTACATCAACACCAGCGACCCGTAGAACAGGAGCTGGGTCAGGAGAGTATTTACCACTCAATTTCCTCACTTTTTTCCAGACTGCACTCATAGTCTGCTTAAAATCAAGAAGTCTCTCAGCGGTTCTATTGTACCGGTACCTGCCCCATGCAGCACGTTTCAAACGTACTGCATGAGCACAAGCAGGAGACCACCAAGGCACGCACTTCTGAGAATGCCTGCCTGAGGTTTGGGGTATAGAATGAGAAGCTGCGGTATAAACTGACGTCAAGAAGATGTGTAGGAGCTCATCAATGGAGGATGAAGAAGGAACCTCACTAAAAGCAGTGAGGTGTGAGTAAAGATCCCAATTTGCCCGATCAAATTGCCAGCGAGGGCTACGGAAAGGTGGTGAATAGGAAGGAGAAGTAAGAAAGATCGGAAAATGATCGCTGTATGCAAGTCTGGGTAGAACAGACCAGGTGAGTCTAGTGCAGTGGAGGAAGAGCAGACTGATAGATCGATGCAAGAGAGAGTATGAGTACGAGGTCAAAATGGGTGGGAGTACCCGTATTTAAACATGGAGGGGGTGAGAGGCGAGAAAAAGCCTCCATGAATGTCACGCGAGTCCCCAATGAGACCCCCCAGAGGAAAAGGTGGGCATTAAAAACACCAAGTAACAGAAGTGGTGGTGGTAGGATGAAACAAGAAAGGCAAAGTCTGGGATAGAAAATGCTCGAGAAGGAGAGAGATATAAAGAACATATTGTAAACCACTTATTCAAGTGGATACGGGCTGCATGTTAATGCAGCGAGGTATGGACAAATAGTTGACAGTACGGAATATCATTGCGTTTGAAGAAGGGCAAATTTCATTAAAGGTCCATCTGAGAAAAAGGGTCGAAGAATACAATAAATTATAGCCTGAGATAGGTTGGAAAACAGCCGAGTGTAATTTTGGTTCTTGTAAGCAAGCACCAACAGGGAAAACCTGGGAAAGCAACATTCTGAAGCTCACCCCGATTACCCCTGAGGCCGCGGATATTCCACTGTAAATAGGCCATTTATTGGCGAAAGAAGAAAATATCAGGAATCTGTAGGTAAAGGCACTACGGACTAGAGGGTTAGAAAAGTCAACATGGGTGGCATTGGAAGATGTTCAAGTAGCGAAGGAACGAGCGTTGCGAAGAATGGGGTGTGAAGATGGAGGAGAGGGAAAAGAAGGAACAGGAAGTGAATCAGTGTCCATTGAAGGTTTAGTCTCTGCAATATATTCTGAAATGGTTCAAGTGTTTCTGAATTCAAAGATGTATGGGAGGGCCATATTGGGGATAGAAGGAGGAGGGTGAGTAAAGATTGGGACAGTAATGGACTGTTTCCAAAGTAGAGGGGGAGGGAAGAGGGGTAAGGGACTTTGGGGAAGAATGTGTGGGGGGGACAGAAGAGGCAGAAACCTGGGAGGTGGTAGAAGAGGGAGAAACTTGGGAGGGGGCGGGGGTGGAAGGCATAGTACGAGGAGGAGGGTGGGAAACTCCACACTTGTAATAGAGCCAGAGAGAGGGGAAGAACTAGGTACAGATACTGGAAAGGTAAAGTGTTGGGGGTGGAAGAAGGGAAGGAAGGGGCAAAGAAGATTTGAGCAATGTGGATTTTTTTGGACTTCTGAAGTAGAGGGGCGATTGGTATTAGGTGTCGTACGAGGTCTTGTCGATACTGGGGCTTGTGAGAAAGGACGCGAAGATGTGAGAACAGACTGAGTTGTGTCGGGACGTCAGAAACCAAGGGCAGCAAAAGGATTAGATGCCGAGTGGCTATGGGAGGGGTAACAACAGAGGAGGCTGCAGAAGATGGGACCCCAGAAGTAGGGGGATGTTTGGAAACACGAGAATAAGAAACACGGGGTAGTCTCCCTTGGAGGCGGAGATGAGTAACTGCCATAGCATAAGGGAGACCTTCTGCTCTTTGAGGCAACGGATTTCCACGTTCATTTAAGTAGACCTGGGAACGGCAGGAGTACGAAGGGTGGGGCTTCATTACAATTAAGGCAAGATGGAGGTTGACTGCAAGATGTATTAGAATGGTCGTCGGCACCACGATGGGCATTGGCCAAAAGATCTGCAATATTTCGCTGGGTGACCAAAACGCCAGCAATTTTACATTGTTGTGGTGTAGGTATCACCTTTCGAACTTGTAACCGATGTCCGCGACATATACAGAGGGGGGGAGTTCTCGACTGTCAAAAGTTAAAACAAGCCAAAATTGCAAGGGTAACGTCTCCGCCCCCGGGCAGGGAAAGGGCATAAGTGTCTACTTTGAGGATTGGGAGATCCTGGAGCTCCAGTGTTCAAAAATGTCATTGCCCCATGAAGGAAATTCTGTTGGACTATGGTATGGGGCAGAATGGGCAGTACCACTACAAGAATTGAGAGAAAGATGTTTTTCAATAGTGATAGGAGTAGTATCGATATTCGAAGGAGAGAAAGTCATGAGCTTGGGGAGCATTTTGGACAGTGCGATGGGCGTACCGCTCTTGAGAGCATGAAATGAAATATCTCTGCCAACATGATGCAGGAGCGCTTTGCCAATACTAATGGTCAGAAAGGTAGGCAGAAGAAGTCGGTCTTAAAGTAAAGAAATTTAGTCCATTGTGTGGTCCGAAACTGAGCGTGGAGAGGGAGTGCTTGACGTGTCGGTCTTTTCCCAGTAGAATGGGAAGGTAATGAAGGAGCATCATCAGGAGATTGACGTTGGCGTTTAGGAGTAGGACCGGAGTTGGGCCGGCGTGAATGGGCGGGCGATTCGAAATTGCCATACCGTAGAGGGAGAAGCCGGAAGCATAGTCAAAAGGGGAGTGGGGTTCAGACAAATCGAAGGAGTCAGTCGAAACCCTGGTACCTGGGAAAGGGGGGAGGAAACAGCACCAGCAAGAGGTACAGGGGCATCAGGAGTGTCCCAAGAGTGGGCTAAACACAAAGGCAGGGTCAGAATGGGGTGCAGTATCAAGAAGGGGCCCGGGGGTAGTGGGTTCATGGACTAGGGCCCGCCATGGTTAGGTTACTCCTTTGCTTTTTGTTTTTAAGAAAAAAAAAGAAGAAAAGAAAATAAAAATAAAAAAAAGAATAAAAAAAGGGGGGAGCGGGAGGAATAGTTCCCCGGAGGAATGAAAGGGCCGAAATCTCCCTCCGCGCCCAAGAGGACCTCAACACGTAGTAGCGCAGATGCAAACATGGAACCGTGTCATACCCTACCCTTCATGCCAGTAAACCAGCAATCCGGATAGCAACCTCACATCTGCCGAGCTACCTCGGTGGACAAAAGAGAGAGCGGCCGGATATCCGCCACAAAGCTACCCTTCGGCCACCACCCCCGGAATCTGAAAGGTGGCTTCCAGAGATACACCGTCGCCGAAAGACACCCAAAGCTACTCCGGGATACCGGAGAGGGATTTGGGACATCCCAGCAATCCAGATTCCCCGGCAAACTACGCCACCCCCAAGAACTCAACGGAATGGGATGGACCCCGGTGTCCTTTCCCCTACCTAGGAACTAGCGCGCCTGTGGGAGAAATCCCAAAGGCCAAAAAGAGGAAGGGCAAAAGGGAGGGGTGAGGAGGAGGAGGAGGAGGAATGGAAAAAGGGGAGGATGGGATAGGGGAGGGGAGAATGGGGGGTAATTAGGTTCGGTCTGAGGAAGAAGACCGACAGGGCTAATTCCTCAGACCAAGAGCCTCTTCACCACGCCAAGGAGCCCCCCTTGAAGAGGTGTAACACTCACAAAACTTTCATCTGTAAGACAAAAGTTAATTAAATTTATGAAGGGAACCCTTCAGCTCAAATTCAATTAACTTTTGGCTTACAGATCAAAGGTCTACAAGAATATTAAGAGTCAGGTTATTTTAAATCATTGTATGTACAATAATCAAAAGGCCCATAGGATGCACAGTATATATGGTGGCTATTAAATAAGGTTAGGTTAGGTTTGTCAAGAAACAGGACAAGTGTTTCCTGACGCGGGTCTAAATCATATGACGATCTGCAGCTGGAGCTTTTGGTCATCTGACCGAGGCCTTTCGCTGGCTTACTGGTCCACCCCTTTAAAAATTCTGGTTATGAGGAGGTCTTCCTCATCGGCAAATTGGAAACTTTTTTCCATCTTGTGGTGGAGTTCCACATCTTAGGTCTTTTTATTGGTCTGGAACTTTTTGACAGGTTGAACTAAACACGTGGTGAAATAGCTTTTGTTGATTAAGATTTAAGCACAAATACACAAAATTACAAATGTCAGTTTAAATTACCTAGGATAATCCCCCCAAATTAAACAACTTTATTTCCAATGGGGTCCTTGTAAATATCTTATTATTTACCTTAAAATTACACAGCTAAGTAACTGAACTGTGAAAATCAGTTACAAAAAAGTATGCTCCCAACATACAGAAAAAAAAAAAGGGTAGGATAGCAGCACATTGCTGGTATACCTAATTTTAATAATAATGGAAGCCAACACTCCCAGGATGCAATATAGACATACGTATCCACCACTTACACTGCTACATAATGATGTTCCAATATGATGAGAACTTTTTAAACATGTGCCCTCAAGATCATTGTAAAAGTTTTTTCTGTGTTATGTAGCCAAAACCTAAATAAAAACTTATTAGTCATAAGTAGTATAAATTGGGTCCAGGAGCTACAAGAAATAAATCATTACAGGAGTAGAAGCCTTCTGTAAGAAACTTTATAGCAAACTCTTTACCACTGACTAAAATTACAACAAAAAGTCTAAATAGTCTATGGCTTAATGCAGGCATACTTAGATTATCAATAAAAGATTGCAAAATACGTAAAAGTATTGACCAGGACTTTTTCCTAAACCCTCGATTCTGGTGAGGGGCTTTTGATCCAAGGTATCCTCCCTTTCCTTGGATCAAACCTGACTGCCTCCCTACCCGTATAGTGCTCCCCAAATGTACAATATAGAAGTTCATAAATACACACAAAAAAAATGTCTTCAGCATGGTAAACCAACTGAATGGGTTACTATGAAGCATTATTATTATTTTTATTATTATTATAAGTTGATTATTTACTGCACAAGATGTAAGTACTGCAATCACTGGAAACTTGAAACTTACACATATACATACTGTAAAAAATTAAATGCTGAAGGAAACACACGTAGAGCAAAGCTCTGCTTTTTTAACTAACAAATACTAACGTGGCGAGCTTGTTTTTACAACATGGCATGTATGGTAGACTACTACTGAGCTGAATTCTCCTCCACCTAGTAATACCACTCTCAGGGCATTTTTTTCCCCTCCATTTTTGATGCCTTATGAAACTGGACCAACAACAATCTTGCCTATTTGCATAGCCTATCAAGTCTTCTTTAGGAGAACACTAAAGCCCATTAGCCAAAAATCTCTCTTCCATCATATGGGTACATGTACAAGGATTTTTATAAATACATGTATGTAACTGCAATTGTAGGTTTTATTAAAAGACATTATTTTACAATATAACCTATGTTCATATTTTCAATAACTTTAACATTATCAGGTAAGAAATAAGTAGAATTTTCTAACATGGTTTTTACTTCATGGAAAAATAAGCTGCTGCAGGGAATGATATGTACACCAATGTCATCAACCCATTGCCCTGTTTGACTGTCCTCACCTTCCTTTATTAGGTACAGTAATTTGATGGCATAAATTTTCTTTAAACTGATGTCCTTGTCTTCCAGACATAGCTTCTGGACCACCGGTTCACACGAGGTTAAGTTTGAAACATCTGAAACCAGCAATTTTTGGTTCGTATTCATTGTCACCATGTACATGTATTTCTTTGGTACTGTTTGTACTTCCAGTACTAACTGACAGTTTACTCCAAAATTATCCTTGTCAATACTGTGAAACAAGGACAGCAATATCTCGCTAGAATTTCTATCATATATGACTTCCCCTTGCTGTGTTAGCCACTTAAGATTCAGAGCCCAAATCTTGACCAAGAGGTCAGTATTCTCACCCAGGAGTGTTCCACATCCAGAGCACTTGAGCATGCCATCATCACACTTGGCATTAATACATTCCATCATGCTGTTGTGCATGAGAAAATACAATTCTGTGTAAAAGCATTCATCATGTTGAGGCTGAAGTGATGCTGGCTTTAGTTTCTGTCCATGTTCTCCATGAAGATGACAGAACCAATTCTCAGATGAATGATCCCAGTCCACTGATGGAAGAGGCATCACTCTCCTAAACTTTACTTTGGTAAATACACAATTTGGACACTTCTTACAATGAGCCGATCCAAATGTGTCAGCAAAGAAGTTTTTAAGAGTTTTCCCAAAATTTCGTATGCTATCATTTCAATCACCACTGAGGAACTAAAAAGTGGTTTTTTCACAAATTGAACACGCATGTAAGGATGTTTGCAGTTGAGAAAATCCGTTGCTAAATTTGGTACCGTATGTCCCTTTCGAATCTTAAAAAAGAATTACTCTCCCATCTTGAAGCTAAAATGGAACATTCAGTTGTCCAACGGTATTTTCTATAGAAAACATTTTTGGAAAGGTAGAGAAATGTCATGTAACATGTTTGAATATTTGGTAAATTTCAACTAGGACTTGAGAATTTGTTCGTTACTGAAATCTGTAAAAAAAATGAAGTACTAAAAAAATAAAACATAATGCTAACAAATCTATTAAAAAAAAAAAGGGGTAAAATGATTAATTTTTAACGTATTTGTAAATTAAATGCTTTGGTACGAAAAAGACATTGACTACAGTACAACGCATTATCATAATTTCGAAACTGTAAGGGAAAGGATATTTTCAGAGGTTTTTAAATGTAATTTGTGGCTGAAAAATCAAACTTATATTATTTAGCTTCACTGTGTACTTTATTAACCCCTTTTAAACTTTTGTATTCTGGTGTTTTTAAAGTTTTGAACTTCTGCAACACATCACCATATTACAGAAGGATATAAATCGGGAAAAATTTAAAAGGGGGACAAAGTTGACCCCTGTATCTGAAATCTTCCCCCTGAGGATAGACGAGGGGCCCTGAATCTGATCTCTAGGGGGGATTTGTCGAGGTGTTTTAAAGGAAAACAGGGAATTTAAAAAAGGGGATGTAAATAGCGTGCTAAAAATTCTAAAGACAGGATTTGCGCATCTTTTTTAATTGGAAAAATTCTTCAGGGAAAGGGTATAAGAAAGCACTGGTTTTTGGTAATGGAGTGTGGAGAGTGGAACAAATCTGAGTACATATGAAACAAAAAAAGTTGTGTATTTTTAAAAAAAAAGGGTTGGATAAATCACGAGTGGGTGTGGGTGGGTGTGATTGGACCACTGCTTTTTGTACTAGGTTGGGGTGCCGTGCTTTCTCCCTTTAAATACGGATGCCTGACGGCAAGGCATTGGCTTAAGCCATGGGGGAAATTGACCTGCCTCAACAGGCCTAGGCCGTTGCAGTGTTCTTTTTTTCTTATGTTTTTAAGAAGATGGACAAAAAAGAAAGTTGTGGCACTGAAATGAGGGCCCACTGTCATTTATGATTTCTTTGTACAATACGGTATAGTCAAACTTCCAAATCCAGCAGATTAATAGATGGTCTACTTCGAATAGCTCCAACCCAACAATCACACCAGGTAACTGTGTGCCTAGTGTGTTCCACACCCAGACATGCAAGCACTATAGTTTCTCACATCCAGCAGTGATGGAAGGAGGACAGTTAAAAGTCCAATTGTCATTAAATGTATACTGTATACCATCAATGATATGATACCAACTAGTTTCGTGAAAGTTTTTTAGTCTCTTAATATGAACAATGATGCTGCCAGCAATCTAAGCCAAGTTACCAGAATGGCCAATTCCTGCAGGAAATTGAAGGATCTTTATCTACAGTACTTGCTGAAGTGTCTATAAATTCATTAGTAAAACCTTTGCATGTCTAGAGACTCAACAAAAAGACACTATTTGTGTGTGCTGGCAAGTGTCCTGTATATGTAGTATGCACAGTAGTAAGTGTGGAATTTTGGAATGATTAAATTGAAAATTTTGAGTAGTGGAGAAAGTGTTATCTGGAACCACACTAAGTAATCATTCTAATTTAGGTGTCTTTCTATACATCAATTATTCTTCATGAAGCATTATGTTAGGAAGATAAAGAATTCCATTCTTGTTTCAGCATCTTCATTATTATTATTATTATTATAATCAAAAAAAAGCGCTAAGCCACAAGGGCTATACAGCGCTGCAGGGTAGGGAAGGAAGCGAGGGTATTGGATGGCAGAAGGGAGGAGGGATGATCAGCAGGTTACAGAAAACAGCGGGGCAGGGGATAGTACGGGGGTAGAGGGTAGCAAGAGATTGAAGTAGAAAGGGCTGAAGGTATCAGAATTTGTGAAGTCAGTTGTTGTCAAAAAGTCAATGAGAGAGTCGGATGAAAGGTGGTCCATCAGCGAGAAGGGAAGGTAAAGAGAGAGTAGCGGAGCGAAGACGACGACTGAGGTAAATTCTGCGTGCTCGTTGATAAAGTGGGCAGTCCAACAGAATGTGGCTGACTGATAATGGAGCTTGGCAATTCTCACAGAGAGGAGCAGGGCTCCTCTCCATGAGATATCATGAGTAAGACAGTATGGCCAATGCGAAAACGGGAGAGAGTAGTCTCCCCAAACCCCGACACTGGTGATAAGAAGACGGCCAGTAACCTATTTACTCGGTTTAATAGATTGAAATTTGTTGCCGAGCATAGTAGACCAACGTTGTTGCCAACGGGTGTGAAGGTGGATATTGATATTGCAGCAAAATAGTCCATAAATGGAATACCTCTATAAGAAACTGGTAGGTCATGTACTGCTGACCGCGCAGCAGTGTCTGCTGTTCATTCCCCGTACGTCAACATGACCAGGACCCAACCAAAACAATATCTTTATGCTTGGTAAAGATGCGGCGAACCCAAAGTTGGATACGGAGGACTAAGGGGTGAGGTGTATCAAATTTTTGTATAGCCTGTAAAGCACTAAGGGAGTCTGAGACAACCACAAATGATGACACAGGCATAGATGCAATACGGATAAGTACTGTAAGGATGGCATACAATTCAGCAGTAAAAATACTGTAGGTAAGACACTATGCAAACAGTTAGGTATCTTTATTCGAAAAATTTCCCTACACAGTAGGCTTCTTCAGTCGAGTACAGAAAAGTTGATAGAAGCAGAAGATACTTGAAGACGATGTAATCAGTCCATCACCCTTAAAGTTTTGAGGACTGATGGACTGATTACATCGTCTTCAAGTACGTATCTTCTGCTTCTATCAACTTTTCTGTACTTGACTGAAGAAGCCTACTGTGTAGGCGAAACGTTTCGAAATAAAGATACCTAACTGTTGCATATGTGTCTCACCTAACAACCTGTCGGTATTTTATACCATTTTAATGTTCAGTAAAAATATTAGCCGAAGATAGTAAATGCCTTCGTACGATGCTGTCCGGAAACACTGCTGCGAATCCTACGCCGTCAGAAGACTTAGAGCCATCTGTGTACACGGCAATGGCATGAGAATGAGAGTGAAAGTGGTCAAGAAAAAGAGAGCGGGAAGCGACCGTAGACAGTTGGGCTTTCGAGCAAGGGAGGGAGAAAGAACAGACTAACAGCTGGAACTTCCCAGGGGGGTAGGGAAAAGTGAGATGCTACATGTACATAGAAAGGTGGTAGTTGAAGAGAAGACAAGAGCGAATGAAGGCGAAGAGAGAAGGGACGGAGTAAACAGGGGCGGCGAACAAATAAAGAATGTCTACTAATATCAGTGACCATTCTATAAATGGAAGGATTGCGGAGATCATGAGAGCGTACATAGTAGCGCAGGCAATGGGCATCACGGCGATCGGATAAGGATGGAACGTTCGCTTCTGTATAGAGGCTCTCGACAGGGGAAGAGCGAAAAGCACCAAGGCATAAACGTAATACTTGGTGATGAAGGGGGTTAAGGCTAGAGAAAGAAAGCAGGAGATGCCGCTAAAATGGGATTGGTCACCAAAAACAAGTTTCGAAAAATTAAGGGGGGGAATGAAAGGGGCGGAGGAGGGTTGCGATCAGCTCCCAAAAAGGGAGAGAAAGGGTTTTAAGAAGGGTTTCACCCGGCTGTGACAAGTTGCCTTCAGGGGAAAGTGGGGGTTTTCCCCGGGAAAACCCTACGATCAAAGAGGAGGCCCAGAAATTTGACTTTTAAACTTTCCCGGGGATAAGGAGCCATAGGGGTTTCAAAGGATGTGGGAGATGCCCAGAGCGTCTAGGAAATTAATTTGGGGGGTTTTAGTGCGGGGAAAATTTAAACCCACGTGTGGGGCCCCAAATTTGGGGAAACACGGTCGATGATGTTGGAGAAAAAACTGTAAGGGAGGTGACGTCGCGCCGGCACAGGCAATAGCGAAGCCCATAAACATAGAGTGAGGGACCAAATTTTTTATGGAAGACTAAGGCCAAATATTAATAGCAAGGAGAAAAAGTGTTTGCTCGGGAACACTTTCCCGGGGGGACCCCTTAGCTTGGAAAAGCCCGGGGAGAGCAATTTTTAAACCCCCGAACACGGAAATCCCTTTGTCATTTAAAAAGTTTTTAAAGGGAAAGGAGGGTAGATTCCCTCAAAAGGCCCTAAGGAGTGGGCTTGGGGCAAAAAATATTTTTACCCCAAGTTGTTTCTTATGAAAATTCTAAAGGGTTTCAAAAAATTGGAAAATAACGGGTTTTGGTTATTCGCAAAGGCATTATGAACTTTACGTATCCAAGCGTATTTAAGGGGGTCAAAGGTAGAACGTCCCTTACGAAAGCCTTTATTGATGGTGGAGAAAAACGTCGGTCTCTAAATACCAAAACAAAACGTTATTTACTAGGCGTTCCTTACTTTCCAAAACTGCACGGTAAGAGCAAGGGGATGAAAAGTGGGGGGTTTTTATGCCCCGTAGTTTTTGGTTTTTTGGGGGAAAAGGGGAGAACAATGGCGGATTCCACAGCTGGGGGAAAAAAACTCCTTGGGGACCAAAAAAGATTGTAAAGGCTTTTAATAGGACTGCAAGGGCTAATGAGTAAATGTTTAGCTTTTGAATATGAATGTCATGGGGGGCCCCAGTTTCCCGAAAACGGAAAGCTGAAAAATGTTGCCTCCGTTCTTGAAGTGTAAAAGGACATTAAAATGTTCTTCTCTGGGGAAAAGAAAAGTCCAAGGGTGCAAACTCTCGGCCGATTTTGTGGAAAGAAATGGGGGGCATAAAAGGAGCCCCTGGGGAAATTTCGGACCAGATGATTGCCAATTTCATTGGCAACATCTAGGGGTTTGCTATTTTCAACACCGGAAAAC